CTCCACTGCGCCCCGCAGTCCACCCCGAGACACTGACACAGCAATTCGTGCTGGGATAGGGCATTAAGGTTGGAGGTCGTCATTGCGAATGTTTGAAAAATGCCAGGGAGCATTGACTATTCCCCTGAGCACTTTGTTTTGGAATCCTTGGATTATTTGGATGTAGTTTTGCTGGTACATCACCAGCTGGCAACCATAAGTTTATACAGGCACAATTTACTGTAAGGAAGATCCAACTCTTCCAAAATGTATTGGATTTTACATAATGGCTATCGCATCAGCGCACGAGAGAAATGTTGAATTGCAATTCACTACAAAGTTGTAACACTAATTCCTTGAAAACCAAGTACAGAATCCACTGTTTTCAAATAATTTATCGACAGGAAACTAAGTGTATTCGTGATAAACTGATATAGTTAGTACGCTAACTCGTCAGTGCATACCTTGTGAATGGCGAGAATTTAAATGAGTCAGCCAACACGCAAAGTAGGAAATTCCATTCGGTACGCTTGTACTGACCACACGCCAAACTTAATCATCCTAAATGGTCTTGTTTAGACATTTTGTTCGATTATCTAACGACTGATTCACACACATCTTGGAGAATTGCGTGAAAACAATTATCCAGATTCTCCAGACTCCAATTCGCAGATATGAAATAACGGGAAATAATACACAATTGTATGGAAATTAACCGTTTCAATACGTTTTTATTGTGAAAATATTCGCAATATTCACTTGAATATATTTAAAATAGCTGTAGCTTTTTATAGAATACTAGCTGCACCCGCGAACTTCGTTTCTCCTTAATGCCTAGCCTACCTTTTTAGTACATATCCAACATGGAGCATTTTGCTATGCTACCCCAGAGACTGTTCGGTTTACCAGAATGAAAACTTTTTAGGTTTTTTTGTGATTCTTCTCTATATAAACGTCAGAGTTCAAGTTATAAGTTCTAAACTAACAAATAAAAATAGGTGTTGTTCGTAGAAGAGGGTAGATGAATATTAAGGGTTGTATGTATTTTTGTATGTTGTATCATAAAAAAATAAAAACAAAATTTTTATCTACAAAATTAAAATTTAGGGTCGGACCACCCTTAACATTTAGGGGGTTGAAAGATATATAGTAACCGATTCTCAGACTTACTGAATATGCATAAAAAAATGATAAGAATCGGTCGAGCCGTTTCGGAGGAGTATGGGAACGAACATGTGACGCGAGAATTTTATATAATAGATATAATAAATTTTTAAAATTTTGTTTAAATTGTAATTAAACCAAAAAACTTTTAATTGAGTGGACGAACTGTAAACCTTCGTCAGTTATCTTTCTCTTAGAATACAAATAACCATGTTTTTTTCAAAACAATTGTTTCGGAATCGAACCCAGTTTAAGGCATTGAATAAGCACTACACACAAGGCGGTTCAGTCACACCTAGCACGATCCATAAATCATAACATTTCCATAAAAATGTCTAAGACCTAGTCCGTGGAACGAATACAGATCTCGCATTATTATTCTTCTAAAGACTTCAATGAGTTCCATTAGTTGAATGAGTCCTCGCATGGTATTTTAGTCATAGCGGTAGTGACTCTTGAGGAAGTTATTCCTCGTACCGGCTTAAAGCTCCAAGTTGACATCTAAATTGAAGCCAATTAACTGGATTAAAAACGACAGACAGTCGCCGAGAATTTTATTCCAAAGGCTATGTTATACGAATATGCTTGGGGCTAGATTTATAAGCCAAGTTTTTCACATAACTTTCGATCATATTTCTTTAGTTGCTTTTGGAATGTTCCAAACTTAGTTTGAAAGTCAATGCTATATTACTTTTTGGTAAGCTGATTTTAATACTACATAATATAAATTAATGTATATCTACACAAATGACGCTTTGGTCACGATACGTCGCGACAACTGACGCCAAGCCGACGGTCGCCATTACAACCCCGATGCAATTTCAAATTACCCTGAACTGGGGTGGTAATTCACATTTATACATTATTGATGGTGATACGCAATATTTCAAGTGTTTCTCGATGTTGCTTAATAGACTGGAAAGTTATTCGGATTGCGTGATTGGAATTATATCGTATTAATTAATAACATTATCTGCCTTTGTTACGTATTCAGATCATGCGTTCACATCTCTATTTGCATGAAATAAAACTATAAATAGGTGTTTTAAAATATACTACTAATTTAGGCTTTTCTTAGATAAGAGGAGTCTAATCAGTAGTAACAAATCGCCGGCATTATCTTTTAGTCTGAATACAGCATTATGAAATCGCCAGCGTCCAATTCATCAAATTCAACAGGCTCAAGTGGTTGGGATATGTACACTGAATGGCGGATGACAGAACCCCAAGGCACTTACTGAACTCACAACTTGGTGGCAAGAGTAGACCCGGTAGACTGGGGCTGCGTGGGATTGAGTTGTCAAGGACCTAGAAACAATAGATGTTCGAAGTTGGACGCAAGAAGCACGAAATAGATTGCGATGGCGAATGGCGAAATATACTTCAGGACAAGGGGCTGTATAGTGATTGATGATGATGATGCAGCATTTAATACATTATTTAATATTTTGTTATTTGTGATAGGGTGGAAAATTCTGTGCGTTGGAGGCCGTACTACTACGTAGTAGTCTACGTACATGACTAAATATAGAAATTTTACTCTTGTGCGCTTCACGCAAACTACGCGGCATTTATGGCATACGGGAGTACTTAGCACAAGTCTCGACTCGTCTTATCTTACTCTGTAATTTGGTTATTGTAGGTCTAACTATAATTTAGTTCTACTATAAGAAAGCTCATCTTCACATTGTATGCAGTAAAACGTTACTTCTAAATCCTTTCAAATTATTGCTATATTACGACTCTATATTGTAAATTGTGTTGATTAACGTCTAGTGTTGCCATTAATTCGTAGAGAGGGAAATTTATTAGAAAGGTTCACGGCAGTATTGCCGGTTTAGCGGCTGGGGGATACGAGGTTATATTGACCCCAAGGCTAATTTAATCCAAGGATATTTAGACACGCAAACAGACGGCTCAAACTGCCTATTGACTTTAAACACGAAACGTCTAACAAATTTAAGTAAGGGTTGAATGCCCACATCGTCGTTTACGTACATTTTGTAAAACAATTAAAAATATATCGCACTTGTAATGTTAATTTAATTAAAATATTTATCGGAGTTAAGTACGCACTTATTATTGCTAGGCATACAACGGCATGGTTCAAAGTCGGGACTGTGTATTCTTTGGTTTTTTTTTTTTTTTTTTTTCTTACGACATCACACACCAGTGTACTTAATCTACTAATTATTTTACAAAACTTATAAAATGTGCGACATTTAACGTAAACATAAGTTTCACAAAAAAAAATAGAAATTTAAAATTTTAAAAATACAATTAAAACATACAAGATAATACAAGCACACAACAAAATAGAATAAAATTATAGAAATTTGTTGGCACTTAAAGCAGAAAAAAAAGAAAAATCATCAGCAAAACAGCGAATTAGGTTCGAGGTTAGTAATTACCTTAGACCTATTTTTTTCTGAACCTGAGTATAAGAGAGAGGCAAGAACTATGCGCCCGTTTTTTCTATTTTCTTAATTCCTACTTATTCTTACTATAAGTCAAATAGTGTTGAAACTTTTAATAAATGGGTCTATTTCGTGGGTTTAAGAATTTAAGAAAAATAAACATAAACGAAAAACCTTTGCAATTGCCTTTATAGTCACAGATTTGAACAATACCTACCTTGTAATAATAAAAATAAAAGTTATTGTCCTTAATCCATTCCGTCCATTATCGATTAAACGACTTTTAATACCCAGTCTTTACCTGCCTGTCCATAAAGTCGATAGAAATCGAACATTGCCAGGTAGCGTTTATACGCTGTGAATAAAAAGGTTTGAACGGGCTTAACTGGGATGAAATTCCAAACATCAATTATTCCATGGATTCCTGTTATTGTCCAACGAAGCCATTACCATATTGGTAAGATACGAGTTTTATATTTTAGCAGCGTGAAGTATCTAGTTCATGTAAGTAATTTCGTCTTTATAACCGTCATAGAAGTATTTTTAAAAGTAATACCTAATGAGGATAACTGTTTATTAATAATATTACTACAAAACCAAGTGTTAGGAACACTTGGTTTTACTAGACTCTAATACTTTGCAGAGGAAGACTTCTTGACTGTAAAAATAATATAGAATAAAAGCCGGCAACGCACTCGCGAGCCCTCTGGCATTAAGAGTGTCGGAGCCTCCTGCCCGTTTGCCCCCTGTTCTATAAAAAAAAAAAGAATGTCTAACTTTGGGATTATAGTATTTCATTAATATAATAATAATGTAACTTGAACCCGAAATTTTTTGTACGCGCGTATAATAATTACGTCTAACATTTAACAATGATTGATGAGGTTGGAGAACTTAGATTTAAAGTTTTCCATAAAACGCAGTCAGGCGTAATTTTATTTATAATATTTATTATAGATATACTATAGTTATGATAAATTGAATCTGTTCAAATCTCAAATAATACATAACTTAATTTTATGCAGTGACTTGACTTCGACTTAATGTCCTATAACTATAGTGAGTTTCCATCACCTTCCGTCTTGAGCCTCGTGATTCACCTCGCTCCAAGTCTTTCCGGCTCTCGTTGCCTCATCTGCAACTGTACTACGCCAGGTTTGCCTGGACGGCAACTTGGGAATATGATTGGGATCCCTTCGGAGTGTATGGCCTATCCAATTAGAGCGTACGTCTGTAAACATATGTAAAAGTGCGTAAGTTTTATTCTTAGCAGAAAAATACATTAGTCATTGTATAGTGCCCTGTAGTGTTTAAATTCTTGTTATTTTCCCATTTATTTGACTGGATGTAAAACTTTATCTGTAAGCTTGAATGGTGTTCGATCATAGTAGCGTACAAAAATCGTTAATTTTGTAAATACACAATCAAGGGGCTTGTGCTATGTTACGAGGGGAAAGCGAACCACACCCCAAGTTCATAAAGAAATGTGTAAACATTGTAACAATGTCGACGAAAAGAATGAGTGACTCAGGATTAAGGTCATATTAATACAAAGATAACATTCTGTTCATGATTCATATTTTCATTGAATTATGAGCTTCAAATGTGTTTTTTATTCGCAATTATGTTTCATATTATTTATCACAAACTATATCATATCCGATCAGCGTGCGACTCATCCCCGGTGGTCATAATGTACTTTCTTCCCATGTGCGCATTTAACATAAGCTCGAACGGTGAAGGAAAAGATCGTGAGGAAACCGGCTTGATAGACCCATAAAATCGACAGCGTGTGCCAGGCTGATTACCTATTTGCCTATTGACAGAAATCTGAGGCCCAGACTTGAAAAGGTTATGATTGATGTCTTTTATATCATAAATATTATTGTGTAAAACTTAATATAAATCTAAACTTATAGAAATAAAAGATAACTTATATTCAACGAATCGTAATTCTTTGGAAAAAAACTTCCTTAGAATTCAATACCTGTAACAATTGATATCGAGTTATTAGAACTTTCCATTGTTATTTTGCCACTCATATTATTTGCGCTTAAATAGCAGATACCGTCATGTTAACTTGTATCATGTAAAACATGTAAACAATGTCATACGTCAGAGCCATTGTTTCTCGAATAAGTTCACGGTGCGTTGACTGGACACAGATAAAACAGTAGGACGTAAAGTAATAATCGTTATTCGATTATTAATTGAGATTATATCTTGATCTTATTATTATTAATTAACTATTAATTATATATCTATCTATCATGAGAAACACGGTGTAATGGTTGTAGCTCTTTACAAACATTGTGTAAATCAAAAGGCGGAGAGTTTATTGCCAGTTCTTCTCTTCCAATCTACGTCCTTTTGAGAACTGGCAGTAAATGTAAAATTAGACGCATTTAATATGTATTTCTTTTTTAACGTTCTTAGTGTACATTGTGTTACTTATATGAATAAACCATTTTGACTTTGTTCAAAACTTACAGCGCTGTCAAAATACATCGAATAATAACCTATTACTACGATACATTTGAAACTTGTCTCACTATCATTCGGGTATCGAAGAGTATAAGATGCAGTCGTGCTTATTCCACAACCAAACTTTAGTCCACAATTTTGGTGCTTTGTACCAAGGTTTCTATATAAATTATTTGCACATACATTAAGAGAGGGCGTGTCAATCATTGAACTGTCAAAACCAGCGTATCATTTAAATGTGATATTTCAGTCGTTCATTGACCTGTCTACTTGCGTTTTTGATAACACTGTGCCGACGGTAGACAATCGCAAAATCGATCGTAGTCGGGTGTCATTATTAACCCCCTCACGTATTCGTAAACAATTACACTTATTTGCGAGTAACACGCAGATACAATCGACGTGAATCATTAGCCTACTATTATTATAAGGGCATGTGTTTAAATGCACTTTATATGTAAAGTACTGCATACACAGCATGTAATAGGAAAATCGATTGATTTATATTTGTTCAACCATATACATATGTTTATATCTGTCATTATAAGCAGTTTCATTTTATTTTCACACACACTACACTGGCGATTCAATCCAAAAAGTGTTTAAGCCTCCGAAGTATGAAACTTCCAGCGTCCTGTAGGCTGTTGTGCTATTCCGCTCGATCCAGCCGTACCTAGACCAACTGGTCTCCGACCAATTTATTCTTATGTATAATCTATTATATCTTCTTAGCATTTCAATTGTTATTTTTGTTTAAATCGCCCAATTAGTCTGAGTTTATTCACTACAAATCAACTAACACTGTAAAATAATTCTCAAACTTTATGAATACGTCTTTAAGTAGATACAAGTGATCGAACTTGCTTTAAAATAACACTGAAGGTTAAAGTTCTTCATATATTGCATAGTATAGGAGTTCCACATATATATTTTTATGTATTTTGCAACGCAAGACATCTGGTCTCAATATTATGACTGCTTAAACCATCGTTATCTTAATAGCGCATTTCGTAAAACTTTTATGTTCCAAATGAAATAGTTTTGTTGTACCGTTTTAGTTTTTTATAACGGGAAATGAATAAAAGCATGCTTTGATAAGTTTGTAGACAAACAATAGAGTAATTGTAGGCTTCATTCTATAATTTGTCTGTCCTAGTATCGATTATGTGTGTATTTGAAATGCAATAGACTGTATGCGCCATTAAAGACTTTTCAGTATAGGCAGGTAAATGACATCAATTTTTCTGCAAGATTCAAACTCAAACTGAAAATATTTTTATTCATAGGTATAGGTAAATGTCGTCACTTATGAACGTCAAAAAGAAGTTAAATTAATTGTAAATTTAAATTTACTACCAGTTTGCAAGTCAAGGGCGTAGAGCGGGTAAGAAGAATTGGCAAGAAACTTTCCGCCACTCTTTTTAATCGCCAAGTATTGAGTCATACAAATTGTTTTAACTGGAGCAGATCAATCCCAAAGATTAGGATCATTTAAGTCTTCGTCAAATTTATAAACTAACATCAGGATCAGGCTTTACGCTATGTCCGTTATCAGGCATATACTTGGTATATAGGCTTGATAAGCACAGGCAATAAACAGTTTCAAGGTTTCAGTGGAATATTACAAATGATGACACGTACAAGTGTATGACAGTAGTCATTTTCATTGTCATTGCAGTAGCAAAGTTCTCGCCTACAAGTGCATGGACGTGAGACGATTTTAATTAACCCAATTATTAATTCAAATATTTAGCACGCAGCTTCTATGGAAGTTGACATATACATCCTTTATACAACTCGTGCACACAAATGAAATGGCTACCGCATTCCAAGCATTCAATTAGACGCTTGTGATAACGGATCCATAACTTGACTGTGATAAATTAATATAACTGGACACCATCTGTTGCGTCTTGCGAAAACCTTTACTTTGAAATCGAATCCTTTGTAAGATGAGCGAGATAATTAAAACATGTTTAATTAACTATCAAATTAATCTACAACTTGAAATTAATTTGGTTGGTTTAAGAGGAAATAATTATTGTGTCCCAAATAAAGCGGAATACAAATAGTACAAAGATTTAGGTATAATTATAATTTTGATTAGACTTTTGTATGACGAATAAAAGCGATTAATTAAAGTGTTACCTTAGTGACTGAACCTACTATTTTCTCTTTACGAGTCGTTTTGTATGTATATTTTTGATGGTGGTTTATACGTTTAGCGAGAGCAGAAGTCGATTACCGGAAATTATTAAAAAAATGATTCCGGTTTTGCGGTTATTACAAACTTCGTTGCTTGTGCAATTAGTCGTAGATTTAGAAAAAGCAACGCAAAATACCTTCTAACTTCTAACCCTCTAAATCTTGTTACAGTGGCCTGAACTTCCAAGATCTGATCGTGCGACAGGGTGCCATCGATTCACCGCCAAAAACCCCATTCATCCTTGGTTTTGAATGTGCTGGAGAAGTCGAGCAGGTTGGCGAAGGCGTCACCAACTTCAAGGTAAAAAGTTTAAAAGATGACCTAAGCGTTAATAAAGATAGGTAATTAGTAGTGTTTTGTTTAAGAACTGTTATCACGTTCAGCATAGATTGAGATTTTCCTTACTTAAAATCACCCGTAAATGCAGCGGGAATAGATAAAATCTGTCTTAATCATAATAATTTCACAGACACACACATACAACTACTTCTGTAGGAATCTAGTTGACTGTTTTAATTTGTTTTATTTTTCCTTTTTTTAGAAACTTTAAATTTTGTTGCCTACTCATATAATATGTACTTGTTTGTTATGAATCAGTATGAGTTTGCTGTGGAATGGAAGCCTGGTTATCCATATCACAGGTTCCTACCTAGCTTCGAAACCAGTCTCCCAATACCTTCTTAACTGTAATCGTAATTACTACTGGTATTACAATTGACTATTTTCCTTTAACATTACTAATATCTGTCACACACACAAAACGTACCAATGTTCTGCACAGATAGAAAGAGACAACCTGAGGGTCGAGAGTCCCACGTTTGACCACTAAACAAAGCGACAACCTATACTTATCTCAAACATCATAATTTTTTTCGTGGGTCCATTACCAGGTCATATTCAAATCACGTTTTTTGGTCTCAGCCGTTAACAATGAACAATGGGTCGGTTTTTGTACCTAAACCGACTTAGTTCCACTAAATTGTCTAGTTTCTAGAAGGAATAATAATAATTAAGCTGTTGTTGAAATAAACCAGTTATAAGTAACAGATCTTGTTAATTTGAGTGACTCAAAGCAATTTATAGTAATAACAGGTTTTCTCAGTTTCTAATTAACTAATATTAGATTTTCCAATAATTTGTTACCAATTAACCTTGTTGAAAGGAAGCAATTTCTATTTGAGGCTGAAAGATATACTAATTACATTATAAAAACATATACTACGTCGGAATAAATTAGGTTCAATTAACATTAATAAGGTATTTAAAATACATTTATATTTGGTACTTTGGAGGTGAATTAAATATAGTTTTATAGATAGATAGTTTTTGTTTTGAGGCTATCTAAGATATCTAACTGTAAAACTTGAAACAGCCTCGTACCCTAACTTATTTTAAGGCTATTCATGCGCTAATGCCCGTGACGTATAAACAGCAGGTCATTTATGGCGTCAACCTGTAGCCACAAAAAACGGATTTTACTTAATAAAATCTCAAACAGATGTCGAAACTTGATTTGTTTCGGAATTTAGGCTAATTTTGTTAGATACTATGGTTTATTTATTTTTGAAATATGTATAAATTTGTTAAATCAGAACACATATTCTCGTTATGCAGGTTGGAGACCAAGTAGTCGCTCTTCCGGAGTACCGTGCCTGGGCAGAGCTGGTGGCTGTACCAGCACAGTATGTGTACGCTCTGCCCTCGGGCATGTCGGCCTTGGACGCCGTGGCCATCACAACCAACTACGTGGTGGCTTATCTGCTCCTCTTCGAGATGGCCAACTTGACGCCTGGCAAGAGTCTTCTTGTCCACTCCGCTGGTGGTGGCGTGGTGAGTATTTTAATATTGTTTGTCGTGGTATACCTATATGTTTTGAAACAAAGACTTGCCTCGTAAAATGTTCTCTCTACTTCGCAACCAATCTTTCTTAAGGATAAAAGAAAAAACTCGTTACAAACGTTTAATAAAGATAATTAGGTCCAATTCCAATTTACGAAATTTGTAGAGAAATCAGGTATATTCTTACATACTGTTTAATGATTAAATAACTTTATTTCTCATTACAAAATAATCTATTTTATTTACATGAAAAACTTAATATGTATATACGAACGAGATACACGTCGCCATCAGCCGTCCCAATTTTAGTCTACTAGGTTCATTCTGATAATATGTATCTTTAATGCACTTTTGAATTGGTTAAACGCGCTAATATTACGAATTTTAGACGGTAATTGATTAAATAATTGCACACCCTCATACTTAATAGACTTCTTCAAATAATTTGAACGCGTTATAAAATAATAATAATAATTTGTTTTTGAAGTTATACTTCTTTAGGCGCGTTATGAAAAATTTATGACAGTAAAATTTTACGATGCGCGCGCACCGTGACACAAAATTATCAGTATGGGCGCCGACCGTGCGCGAGCGAGATGGGAATAAGACAATCTACAAGTAAAAAGAAATAGAACATGCGTGACGTTAGCAGCTATACCAAGAATTTTGAATGACCATAATGACATTTGTAGTGCCTTTTAAACAAATAAAGGAGTTTTAATTGTTTTTTCAAAGAAATTTAGCAATGCGTTTTCACAAAGACCTATTGTTACTTAGTTAAAAGGTTATGAAACATACCTAGTTATTAAATTGAATTAATAATATAATAAATAATAATGATTATTAATATTAATTAATAATTGAATAATATACTAAATATTAAATATTGTTAAATTATTAACGCTAAATATTTATTATTAATTATTTAATATTTAAACAAAATAAAGAAAGCCAAAGAAGTTTAACTTCTTACGCGCGTACATAAGTACACGCACCATTTTTACATAGGGAACAATTCAGTATCATTATAATCTGCTCAGTAGTTTTTGAGACTTGGCTCGCACATTTGTACCATGTATATAATATATACGTAAGACTATTGTATTTCTCTTATAACTTTTACTTTATCTATTCCAATAAAGATAAACAGCATAATTGCTGGATATATTACGTTTTAATATTCAGTGAGGCCTTCATTTCGAAGCCCTTTAATGTCTAAATATCTGTTGTAGGCATCAATGGGTCCTTTGTGTTTTAATCGTGTTATGAAAGATGAATCAATCTAAGCTTCATACTTCATTAAACGCATGATATACGCGTCTGGACAGAGGCTTACTTGTAGTGTTTGAATAGTGAATCACTGTAGTATTAATTTACACCAATATTTTGAAACTTACGAAAGAAACGATGAAGAAATATAATAAACAATTCAAACATTGAGTAAGTAAATAATATAAGAGGCGTTTTCTTAAAAGGTTGATTCAATGGTGACGATACTAAGGGTCTGTTTCACAATGTACGGATAAGTTCTACATAAGTTCCAAATTAGCTATTTATTACTTATTGGTAGGATAAACACTATTGTTGCGTTTCACGACTGTCAGATAGCGCTATTCGTCACATATAGTCCATCTTAAGTTATGAGTCCGATGAAGTGTCAAATAGCACAATTTATCTTCCAAATAATTTATGTGTTGCATAGCTATTTGGTACTTTATCCATACATTGTGAAACAGATCCTTAATATGATAATCAATTAACATTTCCTATTTTTTTCTAAGTGAAAGTCTGGCTTCCTATAATTTTGATTTTATTTGAATTTCTTATTATCGCGATCATTATCTAGTTATAAATAAGTTTAACCAGAGGACTGTGGCTCTCCTAAACGGCTGGACCGATGACATTTTTTGCGTGTGTTTAAGTGAGTTCGAGAATGATTTAGATTTACAAATAGATGATTGATTTTGTTCGACTTGTGTACAGGACAACGTCTGTTGGGTAGTTAGTGTATTCTAAATACGATTTGTTTAAACTATGAAAAACAATGTTTTTTTTTATAATACAGGAAATATATAAAAAATTACAGCATAATGAATGAGATTATCACCTCCCAAGTTTTCTTTTAGATTTTTTATAAGAAAAAAAAAACAATTGCGTGAAGGATTAACTATTTATTGATTTGAGGTCATAAAGTAAGAACTAGTCCAAATAAGAGTGTCGTTATTTCAATAAAAAACACGTTTAACGATTGAGGCTATTGAAAATCGCCAAAGGTTTTTGCAACAACTTAGATACGTGTAATATATTACTTCCTGTTGAATTACATTATTTTTTTCTAATATAAAATAAACAAGTATATTGCTATAAATACAAATTTATTAAATCGTTGACCCCAATTGTCTACAATGTATCTGTGTATGTATTGTGTTTCTCGGGCTAACAATAAATGTGTTATAGCCAATTACCTAGCCTACTTTCCTAGGAAACAGACGCTCTTATATTATTTCCACAAATATAGGTCCTAACCACAGATGATGTTAACGGAGAAAAGAGAGAACAAAATGCAGTTGCTATAGGAATACTGACCCTTTAATACATATATTATGTATAAGGGAGTGTTATGTACATAAGAATATTTGAAAAACCTAGATAAGGTTACGCATAAATGATTCACAAAAACCTTCACATATATAGAAGCTCCTAGTAACCCATTTTACATAATATATTTAAAATTAACTCTCGCATGTACTTCGTATACCAGAGTCGAGTATAAACAAATGTTTCTATAAAAATAAACTTGTAACATTGACCCTGAACGGTGAATATTTGCGCTAACAGGTGAACTATATAAAGCAATGTGGGAACCTACCGACATGTTCAAGCGAACGAAAGTTATTCTTTAGTGTTTATATGTATTCTACATTCATTATTATATATTATATAATACAACTATTTAGGTAATGAATTACATAGGTTTTTCATTGTCAGTGTAGTGAACTGTCAAAAGGTCTTATTATTTGCTAGTAGTTATTTAATTTCTTGTATTTTTTATGATGTAATTTTGTTTTTACTAATAAATTTCTTATGTTTGTTTTTTTTTTGTTTCGTCTGTAAATTTTATTAACTTATTGCGCACTATTGTCAATTTAGGTTCGCCTGTTAGGGCAGGAGTGTTTTTTATAAATAAATAAATACTTTTCTTTCAAGGTGATTATTAAGAATAAATATTAAATTGCTTTTATTTGACAGATACTTAGACACTTTCTGTTTGTTAGTTTGACAGTTATGTCTATGATCTGTAGTATTTTTGAGTCGCTGGCTAGGGCCGGTAAACGATTTGACATAAGCGTTTACTACCAAGATGTTCAGATGTTCCTCTTAGAGATGTTCTGAAGGGATAAAGTGTGTAAACATAACTGTTAAATTAAACCGTATTTTTTTTTTAAATTATGTCAATGTCTCTTACAAACCGAAACAATGTTTCACTGAAAATCGAACCATTAAATCCTGTATTATACCAAGTTATTGTACCAAGCCACGAGGCTAATTAAGCGAAGTGCACAATCAATTAACAGTCTAATGATCTGGATTAGGTGAGAAATATTTGTGTGGAATGCTCTTCCGTCAATTACATCATTCATTATCCTCAAAGTCGATGAACTCTTGGTAATTCGAGACGATTGCCCCAAGCGTGTATGGGTGGGGTCCAATTATACGGGTTTTGAAAATATTCAGTCAAGGGCGAAATAACTATTATTACTGTTCTATGTTAGATCACCACTCGACTATATTTATGTATCTACTTAGACACGAAAAGCTTTGATGTAATTTATGCTTTCGAGTGTAATATTAGATGAGAAAGGCATGAGTAACATGATTTAAAGTCTATTTTAACACGACGTGCTGAGCTTTGCAAAACTTTCGGGCCTCTTTGTTTGTAAGAATATTTCAAAGAAGTTTAAAAAACGCTATATATTTTCTTAATATTATGACACACTTGTTGATTTAGCCCCATGCTATGTTAATCCAGTAAAATAAAAACTTTGGTATGAAAGCGTTAGCGTATTATTTTTGGGCCTGGGCCTCGATATTAAATTGTATGATTTTCTGGGGCCTACTCAAGATATTGGTGTTGATTTACGCCTGATGTTTAGTTGTCACATACGGTTAACCCTTAAAAATTATAGACAGTAATGTATACCGATATGTAAGGGTTTCATTCTTGATGTTATCGTGTACTCTTTCTTCAACAGGGTCAAGCTGTAGCTCAACTGGCCAAAACGGTTGACGATGTGACCGTATTCGGAGTATGCTCAAAGAGCAAGCACGAAGCCCTCAAAGCGAACAACAACAACATCGATCATTTACTTGAGAGAGGCAGCGACTACACCAGCGAAGTCAGGAAGTAAGTAGCTGTAGCTGGCGCAGAGTTTCTTGTCAGTTCTTCTCGCCTCCTTTCCTGTGTAACTTCCAATAGTGTCAGCGAGCTGATGACGGAATCGCTATTGGATGTTACAGAAGGGATCTTATTTTTTTTTTAATATTGATTATATAAGTATAAGTCTGAATAGTTACCAACATGAATAAATAAATGTTTATTTGATTTGTAATTTAAATGAGTTGTTAAAGGATACAACAAGGAATCATACTCTTTATGTTAGTCTAACTTTATAGAGGAGGCCGTGCCCGTGATGGGTTCCGATGGTACTGAACGATGACGAGTATTACAAGAAAAAAAAAATATATAACAAATTTAAACTATGTATTGTTAGCAGTTGTAAATATTGGAAATAAATGGGCTTTATTATTAATAAAATTACAACTTTACTGTGCGATGAGAAATATAACCTGGTTAAGGTACGAGATAATTTAAAAAATCATAACAACTATAATGATAATTTTGTTCTGTGTTAATAAAAAATAATTTTTCCCCCTAGATAAAAATTATGTTTTGGCAAAAAAATGGCCAACATTTTAATCTCTTTGAATCTTTTACGCGTGAAATTAAGTATGGACAATGAGGGACTGAAATACCGCTATTCTCACGTTATACTTTCGATTTCAAGACGCCCTCGATATTATAGTCTGTTCCCCTCGCGTAACGCATCGCCTATTTCACTTATTTCGTATTTTCTAACCCTATACCAGCATTGTTTACATAACAACGAGCGCTCTTTGTTTTCAATAATTAATAACGGCGTGTAAGCCAAATATTTAATGCACGTTCCCATAAATTCCAAAGGCAAATAAACCAATTGTTCTACATCCCATGCTTTCTTAATTGGACGTTATTAGTGTTACATATTTCTGTCCCACCCATATCGTCTCGTGAGCGACCAACTTAGTTAGATCCCTAATGATCATCACCTCTAAACAAGTTATTATCCGAGGGGAACGTCTCATAGTAAAGTCAAGGTCCAAATACGTCTGGTACTGAATTAATTGTAGCAGATATAACTCGTTCCTTAGGGCAGCTGCTTTGTAACAGCCGCGCGGCATTTAATTCTTGTAAATAAACATATATATATCTGTATATATATCTGGAGCTTTATAAACAATCCATACATAAACAAACGTTTTCAACACTTAGATGCGTTGGGCGTGGTTGTGGAACTTAATCGGTGCAATTATAACGATAAGTCTCACTGATTGAATTTGAAATTGTCTTAAGGAATTTTAAACACGTGTTGACGTGATAAATGGCCTTGGTTATTAATAAAGATATTAAGTGTCAGTGTATTGTATATTATATTATGTTTTGTTTTAATCCTAGGATTTGCCCTGATGGTGTGGATATTGTTTTGGACTGCCTTTGCGGTGAAGAGTGCAACCGTGGTTACTCGCTTCTCAAGTCCATGGGACGGTATATCTTATACGGTGCGTAGTTGAATACTTTCTGCCAGTGGCGTAACAATAGGGTGGCAGGGCTAGAGATATTATGTTCTATGGATGAATGTGAAGTCTCCAATACGCATTGGGCTAGCGTGGGGACTACAGACCAATTCCCTCTCGCCTAAGAGAGGAGGCCTATAGCCATTAGTGGGACATAAACAACGTGTAATTGAGTACGCTGAAAATCTCGAAGTTTATTAAAATTAGACTGAGTACAACGTGACGATTTTTACTGATAGGGCCCCATCAAAAGAATTTGCCACGGGCCCCAGATGGTATAGTTACGCCACTGCTTTCTGCTATTTTTGTATAATGATAAAAGATATATGAAATCAAAATGTATAGTTAATGTTATATGGGAGTTCCTAATTACAATAGACGAAGTTATAGGTAAACGATCCTTTTTTGTAAGAAAAAGTCATTCCCAATAGTCCTGACATAAAAATGCCGAATCTTTTTTAAGCGCTGAGCCTGGGATCTACTTTGTATTTCACTTTCTGAAACCCGTTTTCTAGTCTAACTTAGCAGTAACCATCTAAACTATCAAATCTGTAATAATTTATAGATAATTAAAGATTAATTTTGATCCAAAGCGTTTTACTTAAAAATCTTAAACATGAAGTATTTTATCAATTGTATAATAAGTTTAATTTATAAGGCTCAGTACATAAATTAAGTATAAAATGTCCCTTTATCGCAGGCTCATCTAACATCGTGACCGGCGAGACGAAGAGTTTCTTCAGTGCTGCGCGTGCGGTGAGTGGCTAATTTAATCTGATTATTGACAATACAAACAAAACCATCGCTTTAATCAAATTCTTCCTTTATTATTAAAACATTATTTCGGAGTACAGTGGGGTTAAGATTTAGTTGGACACAAAGACATTTCGTTCGCAATAATGTTAATAAAATTACTTTACACGAGTTAAATTCTATAACAACAACAACAATTTTAAACTATATGTGAAGATTTTAAATTGGCCTATAATCTTATATATAAAGAAAAATGGTCTTCGTTTGAGGCTCCTTCACGCCTAAACCACTGATCGTATCGACATGAAACTACCACCATTCGATGCGATGATCCTAGATGGTTTATGGCTATTTATTTATTAAATTCCAACGTTCCTTCATTTTTTTATTGCTGTTTTACTTTTATGAAAATTTATCCATACGGACTTCACCGCGGAAACATTCGGGGAGGCTTCCTAGAACCTTTAAACGTCAACATCTGTTAAAAACTCGATTTTCGAAATATTTCAATTTTCTTAGCGGGAAGTTAAAAAGAAGAATAATAAAAATTTGAAAAAAAATAAAATAATGAAACATAAAATTTATTTTAATTCGTCCAGCAAAGCGGGCGCGAAACGGCTAGTGTTATATATAATCTATACATCTATTTCTGTATTGTGCTGTGAATCTTCTGAATAAATAAATAAACATTCGGCAAAAAGCCACAAATAATATTGTAGCTACACGTCTTATCAAATGGTACGAGTTTTAATTATTTTTAAAGTGTCAAATAAGTAATAAAGCAATAGCTTGTAGTATATTAATGAATAGGGGTGTATTTTAACTAACCGTTAGTAATTATTTAGTAATATTGTTTATTTACCAATGGCGCTCACCATTTTTAGGTATGGGCCTCAGATTTCTGTAACTATTCCGATCATTTCTAATAGAAGGTGAACAACCTTCTGTGCCTGACACACACCGTCGACTTTTTGGGTCTGAGACATGCCTACACCGGGCACGATGTGTCTCACGATGTTTTTCTTCACCGAACGAACAAGTGTTATATATACATAGACAGAAAGTCCATTGCACAGCCGGGGATCGAACCTTCGAACCCAGGGATGAGTCGCACGTTGAAGCCACTACCCAGCAACCACTAGGCCAACACTATTATCCTGCTCTGATCTGACTGCTATTGTTTAATACATCCGAGTTTTATTACCAACCAATAATACTTATTGTAGAATCTGAAATGCCCTACATTGCGAAATTCTATAAGTGTTAATACGAATTCGTTAACAATGAGCGGACGCTGGTAACAATATTCCCTTGAAACCGTATTAGTACGGAAATGGCAACATAATCCAACTCGTAACTGATAGAAATGCGTTTATTACGTCAACGTTTTTGCAACAGTTGCGTTGCGGGTGAAATTGTGGTGAATGCTTACATGACTGAGGTTACAGGATTAGTAATGTTAAGTATCAAGCTAGGATTTGTCGCGTGTTCTATTTGTAATACCCGCTTTTTCCACATTTTTTGCAGGACACGTAGTAGTGGACGTAGAACGGTAAATTCACTACGTGCTTTTTTCTTATAAATCTGGCAGTAATGTAATTTAGTGAGAGAACCCGAGCGAAAACATAACTTCGTCCTTCCCTACATCTTCTATATTGTCTATTTTAATTTGTTATGAAATTTTTGAGCAGTGTTGGCCTAGTGGCTTCAGCGAGAGACTCTCATCCCGTCGTAGGTTCGATTCCCGGCTGTGCACCAATGGCCTTTCTTTCTATGTGCGCATTTAACATTTGCTCGAAAGGTGAAGGAAAACATCGTGAGGAAACCGACATGTCTTAGACCCAAAAAGTCGACGGCGTGTGTCAGGCTGATCACCTACTTGCCTATTAGATTAAAAAATGATCATGCAACAGATTCAGAAATCTGAGGCTATTAGTCAAAATGCTAACAAAGAAAAGGGCTGATTAAACTTTCCAAATACGTACATAATAGTTAACAGTTAACTAAAACTTCCCTTCTAAAACAATTCCTTTTTCTCTAATGTTTAATCTATTTAAGCTAATATACCATCCATATTTTCAGTGGTGGCAAGTGGACAAGGTGTCGCCAATCAAGCTGTTTGATGAGAACAAGAGCTTGGCGGGTTTGAACCTCCGACACCTGCTATTCCAGCACGGCCGTGCTGACTACGTTCGTCGTGCTGTCGACCGTGTGTTTACACTCTGGGGAGAAGGAAAAGTCAAGCCACTGGTTGACTCCACCTGGGCATTGGAAGATGTAAGTACAGTTAGCTGTCAGTTAGACGAAGAAGGACTCTTGCCAACGTACGTGCCGACGGTATTCTATACTATAATGGTAGGAACTAATTCTTTGTATATTTTAAAGGTTGGTGAAGCGATGCAAAAGATGCACGACCGCAAGAACATTGGCAAGCTTGTACTAGACCCGTCGCTTGAGCCCAAGCCGAAACCCGCAACTCCCGCCAAGGGCAAGTCCGGCAAGGAAAAGAAGCCAGCCAAAGAAAGCTCCGAGGAGAAGAAAGAAAAAGAGACTAAAGAGGAGGAGAAGAAGCCAGCGGAGAATGGAGAAAAGAATGGTGAGGAGGCCCTCACTAACGGTAACAGCGACGAAGGTCAGTGCCGAATTGTGACCAGGCATGCGTAGACGCATAGACGCTTCGATTTTGATATTGGTGCTTTCTTTCTTACATATACATTCTAGGTATAAAGAGTTACATTTTACTCAATTGGAGAATAATGTATGTGTAAGAAACTGCCAATTAATATTTGCAAAGTTAATTTATAATCGAGCGCATTTTTTACCTCTTACACATATTTGAATGCATATTTTCTACACTTATTGAAATATTTTTATTGAAACGTATTCATTCATTCGTATTTATTCGGTATTTCTCTTAAATACTGTCAACACGTCTTCTCCTTCGGATTTTTTTAAACTCGGTTTAGATTTCGCTTAAGAATCGTTCGCGCCTATGTTATAAGACGCTTTAAACAAAGCTGTTTAGCCTAACACTTGCATTTTAAACTTGAACACATTACTTAAGGCCTATTTATTAAGTCACTTATGTGTAAGAGGTTTACGCTACGCACAGGCTAAGCGCACATAAATGGCTTCCAGCGAGAAGCCTCATTGCAGCTTTTAGATTTGCTTATGCGGAAATTAAAACTAATGCATTAGTTTATATCAAGATTATCGAAGAAGATAGAAGGACCAAAATATCCTCCCAAATATACGCCAAAATTGGTTTAGGCGTCAAAACAATTTCTCTGCGCATTTTTGTATTTATTTTTTCAATTGGCTTGATCTTCACAAATCTATTTAGGCTTATCTACATTTAGCTATTAAAAGGATAATTATGTATTTGGGCTGAAACAAAAATTATCTGATATCCACGGCTAAATCTAAAGGTTGCAGTGTTTGTACGTTTAGCTAGCTTGGTCGAATCGGTTACCTTTAGTGAGGTTTTTTATATGTTAAGTACGGCGTGCACAGTTTCAAGATGATGCTTTTGCTGCAATTAGATGCATAGCTTTATAATTATGCATATCCATTATTTAAGTTTAGGAATTCTGTTGGTCTTTTCTATGATCACTTTTCTAAGAGTTTGGCCATATACCTAAGTAATAATAATAAAATGTAATTATTGTTACGAAATTGTTTTATTATTACCAGATTTTGAACGTATTTTGTGATTCCAGAGTCCAAGGATAAGGAGAAGGAATCCAGCTGAATTGTTTCCCCAGAAACCTGGACCAGATAAACCACCGCCAATTAATTATTTTAGTGTTGCTCGTTTTAGCGATGCGCTTGCACACCGGCGCCACAATATTATGTTGCCTTTTCATTTTGAAGTCTGAGTATATACTATCTTGCAACGTAATCTGTGACTACGAGGTTTTCTTTAACTGACAAAGGTTTTTTCTCCGATATAAAAAAAATAATAATTGTGAAAAAAAAACATATTTTATCATTTATTTTGTCACATTATGTTGCAAGAAGTCACTGACGTACAATTTATGTTTATTTTTACACGTTTTTATTATTACGTAATAATTAACGGTACAGCGAAATCAATCGATTTTCTAATTTAAATCAAATTTATTTTTATATTTCGTTTTAACTCTGGCCTACGTTATTCGTTTTCGTCTCATAGTTTAAACTTTAATTTTAGGAGTTTCGTCAGCGGTTATTTTGAAAGGCTATTGTATAAGATGCAGAGATGCTTAATCTTTATGTATGTTAAGCTTTAATATTTTATTAGTAAATGTTTAAAATTTGGCCCTGGTCCCTCTCGCCGGCCGCCCCTTCGTCGCGCTCTCGCTACTCTAGCTTTAGCAAAAGCAAATCTCTTTAGAGCTTGATTCCCAGATCAAAAACAAAATCGGAACCGTGAGTGATATTTTGTAATAGGTCTAGTTTTGAAAGGCACACTGCCTAGCATTTCCACTTTAATTACAAAAAAAACTTTGGACAATTATATTTTTATACTGACTTTTGTATATTATTTTCTAAATATTCATTTTAGAGAGCATAATCATACGACTACGGCTAGCGAGATTACGACGAATTTTCGTGTCTATGTGTAATGTAAAACTCAATGTACTCGGTGGCATCATTACTCATACTTAAATTATATTTTTATAGACAAAGGGTCTAAAACTTCTAAGGCTTTCTATGTAACACAAATATCACATATCTACACCCTCTCACGATGTATATTAATGTTTTGATAACAATATTACTCTGCATTTTTCGATATAACTAGTGTTTAAAACATATATCTGGGATAAGGTAATTAACCGGCATACATGTACAGTATAGAATCGTACGCAGTACTATATCTTCGGTGTGACATATCAGATGCATTATGGGAAAGGCTGAAAAGTAGTGTCCGGTCTCCGGAATAAAACGAGGCTACTCTCTTGCGTATTACTGGAACTGCTCAATGTAACCTGCCATCGCACTGACTAGGAATTTTATAAATTTTTTACCCTTTTTGAAAATTTATGCGAGCCTATTCGACCACGGTTTTAACTAATCGTCACGGCCCCATTGAATAATTTTATTTGCATCCAATCCCATGCCGTCGGTCGTAGAAGCTCGTGAGATGGAAAGCATCAGTAGCAAAACATAGATAGCTTTTATATTGTACGGTGGCTTGGTGCTAGTTTCGTATGCGGATACGACTCGCTTGTTTTTCGGACCAAATCCTTAAAGCTATAGTATTCTTGTCACTTTGTCGCTTTATGTGTCAAATTCGTGCGAATTTTTAATGTAAACATTATAAAAGTTTGTGTATATCGACCTCTATAATGGTTTTCTAGAATTATCTTCTATAAGAATATTTGTAACTCCACGGCTCTGGGGCGACCGCGTCTGTGTGATTGTGTCCAAATTGTTGTAGGTTAGTATCTAATTTGATGCCAATATTAATTGTAAAGAGCCGGTTCGGGTTGATGCGGTCGCTCCAGACATAATAGGCTGGGTCTTTATGTATTACACATTTATTTTTGTAAGGGCGGGCCAGTGTGATATCTAATATGAAATGGATAAATAAATATGTATGATCTGTAAAAATGCTTAGAATGGTGTTTTATTTCATACCTAATACCGTGGATATTGTAATATCCAGGATTCCCTTAATTAATTTGTCAGTGGGCCGCTATTAGTGGTAAATAAATTTAGGTAATATGTATATCAATATTTATTCTATACATTTTCACTGCTAAACATGAGCATGTTTGTAAAACATAAATTTAGTCTATCTCTGTATAGAAATCCATGATTAGATATTCAATACCTCAAATTCTTATATATTAGATAATTTTTTTGGAACACGTCTCTGGTAATACCAGTGGTATGTTCAAATCCAACACGTTTCTTATATATGGGAGTAGTAAAATCCTAAAGGTCAAAGCACACATATCAACTCGGAAAATGATCGCCACCGTATCACCTCAAGCCGTTCAGTATTGTTTGTATGAAACTCCCTACTGCAACGCACACTAATCGGAATTGAAACGTAATCGCCTCGCTTTGGAAGAGGCTACGAACCACGATGCGGTGCGTGTTCAACTTGCAGTTCCCGCGCTTACGGCTCGTCGTCCCCGCGCTTACGGCTCTCCGTACCCGAACTCACGTCTTTTCGTCCACCCTTGCCCCTGTCCACTCCCGCGACACTCCTTGCTTTATTCATATTGTGTACCCATTATCTTTTCTTAGATTTTTGCTATTTTCTTTTTCCTCTTCATCAAGTGCTAGCCATCTCACGTATTGTAAACCGGGACATAATCGCTACACTTAACTGATCTGGTGCCAACCAGATCGGTTAGCGGTCGGCGAGCCGTACCTAAGCGCGGTGATGGTGGCGGCGGTATTGATACGCTTTGAATACGTGCATACGTTAGGTTGACAGCTAGAAGATAAATTTGAGTTGATGTGTGCTGTGACCTTAAGACATGCCTTTTAAACAAAGATTTTTTTTTACCACAATGGAACGGAATTTGACCCTAAAAGTTAATAGAAAAACACCTAATTGTTTTACTGAGATATCTCTTAGCAGTTAGCAGGCAAGTCCTTATTACAAGAGTCCTAAATAAAACTTCAACGGTTATGAACTCTCCCCGACCACGACACCTATCTGTTAACACTTGAAACTTGGATATACCCTAAATATATAAATTTTCAGAGAATCTAACTTTAAAAGTAAACATACAATAAACGTTGTGGAACAGGAAATAACGAAGTTTTAAAGAAAACAATAAATATACCTTCAGTTTATTAAATTCTCTTCACAACCAATTTAGTCCAAGTATATTCCATAGACCACAACATTAGCATAGAGGTGACAGTTTTCATAATTGTATGAGGAAAAAGCATCTCGCTCATGATCCCACAAGAATGAATGGAACATGTGGACACTTTGTTGTCGGCGTTGACCAATAGTTACCAGCACTAATATACGGTATCTGCAAATTAAAGTTGATGCAATTTTTTGCTTGACAATACCATGTGAACAACTATAGTCTACGGCTACATCTATAATCTGTGAGATGATGTCATACTCTGAATAGCACTAACGAAATGTTTCCGAACTCTGAATTTATACGTATTTATGCAACATCTCGACTTCAGCCACAGGATCTTCGAGCCACCCAGCCGTTGATTACTGGTTAGACTGATCGAGGATCCTCCTTTTAGATTGGAGGCAATAGCAATAGGCAGACACGTTACGGTGTGTTGTAGTTATAATTTTTCTTCATAGGCTAGTATACGATCAACCAAATAGCTTCTTAATTAAAAGACCTCTCTAATCCAAGTCCTAAGACCAGTGGCATTGCGCAAACTGCGAGTTTACTAGACGTATTCAATTCGAACGATTCATCTTTGTGCTTCCGATTAGTTCCACATGCGCATGGAGCACTTCAGTAAATTTCAATCGTTACCTTTCTATAAGGATAGGCTATTCAAATTTATGAATTGTTTGTGATGGTGCATATAGTCATTTACCGCTTATTTCTATAGGATTTTACATGAATAAGCGAATATTTACATAATAATACAATGATTAGGTTGTGCTTAGGCACAATTTGTATTTTGACTTGTCATTGAATATTACTCACACCTTAAATTTATCTTTTGCAACAGAAGCAGTAGATACAAGAAGTGAACGATGCCCCAGCTAGCATTGGTAATATTATGTATATCATTTTTTAAAGCTTTATTTTAACGGTTTTTGTTTAAACTTTAAAATACATTTCAATCATTTGACATTTGTATTTTGTGTTGAGGTTTCACACTAAGGTATACTATACCTTTACCATGACATATAGGTGACATCACCTATATTTTACAGACACATCGCATAATCTGCCTAAAGCTTAATATCTGCTACTTAAGTTGTAATTAAATTTGCAAAGCATTTTGTACAACACCTGTCATAACTTTCTTCTTTAACCGCAGTGCGTATATTTTCGGCTAGGCTAGAGCAGAGGTCAGGAACCGCCTTTTCACTATACTCAATCTCCTCCAATTCCGAATCAACTATACGTTTTAATATTTTCCCAACCACTTCGGTGCTGAAATGTTTTCTTGGTTTCAACTGGTACGTTGGTTGGTAGGTTCTTACCTGTTTAACAGGTTTTGAAATAGACATGTTTGCTTGTTTAATCAATATATTTTCATGTATTCAATTGGTTCAGTGTTGCATTACCATTATTATTCCCAGTTCAGATCTAAGTAGTAACAATGGGTAGTATTTAAAAACGTATTCATACTATAGGGTAATCATACTTAGCTTTAACTATTTAATTCTATCTTACTTAATTTAGCGTAAAAATACATACAATTTTTTGTTTGACGCTTGGTCGACGCCCAAAGCCCAAACTCATACGCAAAGATTCCTTTGTATTTTTTCTGCTTCCCATTGTAAAAGATTAAATGCAATATTCAAACTTAATTAAATTAATTTCTTTTACTCTGGCTCATTTCACGAATTAAAAATCGTAACCATCCTGATTTTACAAAATAAACTATATTATACTAAAGGGGTAGTTTGTTAATCTTTGTTGTTGTTTAGAAAATTATCCGTTGTCTTTCTGCGGATCATACTTTCTATGGCTCTCTTAAGTTGGCGGGGGGAAATTAAATTACAGGATAATGAAAGCCGAACAGTTGTTTATTTTGAACGAACAGTTATTGAATAGTTCTAAACTATTAGTTTTTTGATAGAACAAATGAAATTTTTGATAGAACAATGAAGAACAGTTAACGAACAGTTGATAGAGCCAAAAAAAAGTGCAAAAAATTAATTTCCCCCCGCCAACTTAAGAATCATACTTTCTATAATACAGTGAAACCTGGTTAAGTGAGACATCAAGGGACCTGCAATGTCGTTTCACTTATAGAGGTATTCCACTTACCCAGTGTCTCAGATATACAGGTATAAATAAATATCTGTCTCATTTACAGAGGGTTCCATTAATAGAGGTGAGAATACAGGTTATTTCAGTTATAGAGGTGCGATCATTAAATAAAATAACGTGTTATGTATGTAAATGAATTTTAATAAAAAAAAATAGTACATACGTAAAGGTAATCATACAAATGTAATCAACAAAAATATTCAAGCACGTTTTTACACGTAATATGTACGAATATGGAAACAGAATGTATCAATTATAAAAATCTGTCATTTTAGTTTGTCGTTTGGAAGTATCAGCCATTAGATGTTTTTCGATGTTATAAATTTTATCAAATATGCTTTGGTCACCAATTGATGACATTTCAAAATAACTGTGCAAAGTTTCTAGTGCTTTTACTGCTTCGCGTTTAGAAATTTTACTAAATTTACTTCCGCGCTCATTTCATCGTCTTCTTCTTCATTTTCCAATGAAGAAGACGAGAAGGCATGAACAATGTCGCTTTCATTAAGTTCTCCTGAAACTATTAAACCGTCATCGACGTTTATAAAATCTTGGAATGTTGGCTGTGGATTATTATCGTTGCTTATATGTGTATGTAGTTGCCCGCAGTCTCCATGACTCATCTGTGCATTTGTCAATTGTCACTACTCATAAGTAATCTGTGGAATTCGGCCGCGTTATTCCCGCGATTAAAGTAAATGTCAAATAATATTTTATTTTATATTATGTGTTTAACTTTTTACGACAATCAACGATTCGCATTGTGAATAATGAATATTTAACATTAGTTTTGTGTTGACTTTTATACTTATCAATTCAATGTATACCTATTTTATTTAGTAATTTACGTGAGTATAATTATTATTTGTAAGTTATTGGACATAAATAATTTGTTTTAAATCTAATATTAGCAGTATTGTGATTATATTGGATACATACAAGTAAACATAGTATTAGGGTATTTAAATTCACGAGTTTGAAAAAGGTTTTAAATAACTGTAAGTCATGTTTTCAAGCAAAATCACATCTATTTTGTTAAACAAATCTAACAATTGGTATAGTGAACTAATGATTTTTTTATTGATACAATCTGTGATAACCTAATTGGGTCTTTTTTGTTAAAGATTATTTCAATAAACTTCTTATTACAATAGCATGTTAATTTAAATAAAACTGCACTGTAAATTATACTCAAAGCAATTTCAATAATGAAGCATCAGATGAAAATTGATAAATTTTACCCATTCAAAGCATCAAAATCATTGAAATTTGAGAATAATGATTACTATGGTAATAGCAATATAAAGATTGAAATGGAAACTCCAAAGAAGAGGTCTAATACAAGTCTTCAAATACCTTCTCCTTCTAAGACACCAAAACTAGAAGAATCAGATATAATTAATTTAAGCAGTGATGAAGAAGAAAGTCCATTATCAGATGCTACTGTTCCTTATACTCCAGAAGCACAATCACCTATAACGCCTAGCTCTTCAGAAGGCTTTTTAAACACAAGAACATTTAATATTAAAAAGGACCCTTACCAAGATACTACTCAATACACAGGACACATTGAAAGTCTAGATGACCAAGCTAAATCACCCACAAGCACTTCTCGAACAACAAAAAAATATTTCTCACCAAATAAAAAACGAATTATTACTATTAGATCACCTGGAAAAGCTCGGAAAAATTTGAACAAAATCATTTCTGAAACTAATGATAATGATCTAATAGAAGCTTGTAGTAGTTATGATGATAAAAGTAAGCAAGATTATTATTTCAATATTAATAGAGATTAAAATGTGTAGAAAACAATTAATTTATCTTCAATTTTCATCTACATAACTTATTATTTTTGTTATTAAAATTATTTTTTGTTTATATGTTGATTTTAGGTATCGACATCTTATAGGTTTTATATTCATCATATAGCTAGTTATAATTATTAAGCAATAAGAAAATAATTCCTAAAGCCTTTTCCAAATAATAAAATAAATAATAAGCATTGAAATTTGTTAAAGAGAGTTTAATAAATTTGTTATATATTATCCTTAGAGTTCTTCACTTACAGCTAATATTGTTTTTTCAGCAATATTTGTCATTAAAATAATCCACCAATGTTTGAACAACCAAGATTTAAGGTCATTATTGGATGAAAATTCGCAAAAGTTACTTCAAAACTGCATGAGTGTTCTTAAGCCAGGATTACATTTAGTATGTAAACTTTATTGGAGAAAAGAAGCTTGGTATAGGCCAGGGAAAATTGAGGATGTTTTTAACAAAGGCAACTACTCATGTAACTTGAAACAAATATTGGACAATTTAATCCAAAATGGATTACTTCAGACAAATGATGCTAATCGTAAGTAACCAGTAATTTCGTTTAATTGGAGATAAACAATAATCAATTGTCATAGAACTAAATATTACATTTACTTTTGGTAACTTGCCTATTGCAAATCCTGATTTGTACTAATTAACTATACATATTTGATATTGAAGCAATATTTGAACTCTTTTATTAAGTTACAGGTGCAAATGCATTGAATTTAGATTTTTACATTGATACATTAAAAGTGAATGAAGTAAAAGCAATATGTAAGGAATTCAATATAAAATTTAAAAACAAGGAAGCGGCCAAACTTTCATTGGAAAAGTTTTGTAATCAAAAAAGTATTGGTCATTATTTTGCTTCAACATCACAACCTAATAATCAAAGAGTTTTGGAATCGTAAGTATTTTTAAGCAATATTAAGTATGTAGAGATCACTTCAATTAGTAAAATGTATTTTTTTATTTATGAACAAACTACTAATTTCTCTTTTTATTATAACCCTGAAGAGTTGGTTTTCTAAATGTTAATGTATGTACTAGTTGTAGTAAATTGATTAATTATTTCAAATAATCACAGGTTCACACACTATCTATCACACAATATTTTTCCTCCACATTTAGATTCATAAATTAGATGTGATTCTTATGTGCCGTGCCTTCCATTGAAATGGTTATTGTAAAATGAATTATTCTAGATTTAAAAATCTTTCAGACTTCGCCTAAAGTGTGGTCAATGCTTCAAGCTAACAGAACATAGTCGCAGGACACTTGACGAATTATATATTTTAATGTATTTGGGGATTGACTGGAGTATTTTAAGAGAAAAGAATGTAGAACTGATGCTCTTTAACATTAAAAGCAAAAGTGAAACGTATCCTGCTCAAGATATAAACTTGATTGATAATGCTAGTATTGTTTTTAAGAATAGGCGTGAGTTCCAAAGGTAAGTGAAATTTATTAAAGAAATCATTTCTAAAAATAAAATTATAAAATACACAAAATTTTATCACAACTTACCATATTTTTCTGGTCTGATTTAATGTTTAATATTTAAAAAATTTTCTAATATGTTATTTAGGGAGTGTTCAAGTATTACGTCACGCAATTTTTGGTCATTTTTGACAACCCCCATGTAACGCGCCGTAACGTTTTCTGTACCTGGTCATAAAACCTTTCGTCACCACCCAGTGACTCTTTATACATAAAAGTTACCATTTTGCGGAGTAAAGTACTGGAAAGTCGAAAATAATATTAACAAACTGTTATTCAATCTCCATCGTATTATTACTATTACTAATGTTAAATATATTTTTTGTAGCTATATCAAAGCAAGCGATATTTATGAGGAATTTCTGAATACAAGTGATACTTTAATTCGCCGTAGCATTATTGAAAAGGTGTATAAACAATATTTGGAAATAAAGACTGAAGAAATGACGAGGTAAATAAAATTCATCATGTTTGTAATGTCTTAGCTTGTAGATTTTGTTGTTTTTCCTATTGTTTGGACGACTCAATGTGTAACTAAATCTCTAATTAAACTAAACTAAATAAACAACTATTTTATAAAATTATCAATTCTACAATCATGTACACTTTAAAGTTAACAAAGTTAAAGGGGGAATGTCATTTACCTAGAAAAGTAGTAATAGTTCCATAGTAAAATCTGCATATTGCCAATTTAAAACTAAAGATATACACGTATCGTTAGTGAAACTTTTATTGATCTTTTTTTTTAAAAATATTATGACCTATACTATAAATAAAACTACAGATTACTATTTCGTTAAATTAGATCATTACCAGAGACATGAATACAAATATTTAATTTTATCTTATTACTACGAAGATTATTATAGAATTTCATTAATTGTAAAAGAATTATTACTATCATTGAAAAGCAAAAAGACTGCCACTTTAGCACTGGAAAGTTTATTGCCAACGCTGGTATAAAGGATGCTTTTGAGATCAAAAGCAACATGGCACGAAACCGAAGAGTGTGTACGCGTAACGCAAAATGTTACACTTAATTTTTGACAAACGTCATAAATAGTTTCTGACTTCAAAATATGACAGTATCATTGTATCTATTATTGATTATTTAAATAAAAAACTAGTAAAACTATACTAAATTTTAATTTGAAACCATCTGATTAACTATAAATAGTTAAAAGTCTGTACCACTGTGGCTTCGTAAATTCACATCCGTACCTCTATTTAAGAATTCTAAAAGTGGGTTCGCGATTTAAAATTGGCCCTTTTGAAAAATAACATGCTACCACTTACGCACTGATATAATGACAATTATGGTATCACAAGATGTCGTTTTTTTTGCAGAAGAAACGGGTCTGGTACGCTATTGCATTGTTTATGACAAACGTCTAAATAATGCTGACCGACGGGTAAGACTTTTTATATATTATTTATTTTTGCATAAAAATTCGTAACCATGTCCTCCATGTAAAGAAATTATAGGAAATCCCTACACGCACAACATCCCCTAAGGTCGAAAACAAATTTACAAATTAAATTAAAGCTGTCACTGGCCCTCGAGCCGGACTTCAATTATTTATGTTCGCACTTAATATTGTTTTTGAAGCTGCCACTTACCATACGTAACTAATAGGCAATGATGTTAAAATGTGGTTATTTATTTAGATGTAGTAAGTCATCTAAGTAAATAACCAAATGAAATAAAAAAATGATGATTAAATGATTATATAAATTTACTGTTCAAATAAAAAAATCTCTGTAATTCCCTTTAATTGCCAACTATTATATACTTATAAAGAGCTGCGACCGACAGAGTTTATCACATTAGTGCCATGTCCTCCATATAGGCAACAGGATATTGACTTCTCGGCTGAAATATTTTTATTATCTTGTTTGAATAATTATTGACTTATAACGCAGTAATCTTAAACTAATACTTAAAAATACCTAATATCAGCGCCACCTGTCGAAAAGTGTTAATACTAGCATCAGTTCAATGCAAAATAACAATAAAAAAACTAGCACAGACTTTTGAGACGTACTTTTGTGGATGATAAGACACGAAAATATCTGCCTAATGTAAGAGAAGTTTAAAAAAAAAATTAAATAAAAAACAACTTCAAATCCGGTATTTGAGTATCAACTGAAGAAAAAAATACATCATTTATAATTTAGCTAGGTACCTTTTTTAAACTCGTTTTTAAACCACGAAAACTGTTTAACCAATTTTGACCAAACCTGGACTACTCTATGGAAATATATATTTATGAACATGTAATATGTTAATGGTATAACCATTTTGTTTCCAAACATTTGAGGACAAACTTACAAACACGAAATAAAATATTACATTCCAACAATACCACATATATACACATAATATATGTACATATTATGTTACATTTTTTTTAAATGTCGGTTTCGATGTTTCTATAAATCCAAAAACGCCTTTTTAGTCGGCAGAGATTGTATTGGAGGGCTTTAGTAAGTTAGATGTACGTGATTATGAAAAGGATTGTTTACGTGTACGTGCACGTATGCTAACGAACAGAGTAACGAACAAGCCCGTCGATAGTCTGGTCATCGCGTTAACGGGGCACGCACTTCAGGAACCGGTGGAGAAGGATATCAAAGCGACACATATAAATAAACAAGCTATGGAGTAAGCATTTTTTGCCTTTTACCGTATTTAAAATAGATCACCATTCTAGGAATGTCCGATTTGCTACACTTACATCTATAAATTTTTGAAGACGGTGTAGGGAAAATTTCATGCCTGTAAGAGATCGCTTAGTAACAATAAGGCAGCTTAATTATTAATATTATTTAATTATTGTGCAAAAAGTGTAATAAATAAAAAGATTTTGTTTCAACAATGGCTGTACCATAACCACTGACTAACTTAGATGAAATGTTAGACGTGTAAAATGTATAGCTCTGTGAAAAATGCAATTTGTGACTTGGGGCAAATCTAATCTAAATTCCAATTATATTACAATCTCCTCAGACAGAAAATTAATTGAACCTGAATTGAAATATACAATTGTTTCCAGTCACATTGTTACTGAAGATTTTATTACAATGAAAAATTTAAAATTCAAAGCTAAGCTAAATGTAAAAAAGGTTATAACTTTAATATATTTTTCAGAACTTTTGATAAAGGAAAGAAAAAGTTTCATTGCCGTCTGCCTGATAGCACTATAGTAATGGAAGCAGAAGAATACTGCAGAAGATATTATATTGAGCAAGGGGAATATACGCATGGTATATAAAATTTTTTAAAATAATTGGTTCTTTCGTATCTTGTTCTTCAGAGGCTGTTATAAAAATTTAATTTTGAGAGCAAGTAGAATCTTTATATATATAATTCTTCTGTGAGTGTGTATGTCACTGAACTTCTCTCAAACGACTGGACCGATTTTGATGAAATTTATTGTGTGTGTTCAAGGGGATCTGGGAATGGTTTAGATTCACAAATCAGCCCGGCAGATGGCACTGCAGTCGGTACTTTCATACTTTGCTTAATATCCTAATCGCTAAATATCATGCAGGACAACGTCTGTGGGGTCCACTAGTATTCTATATTATACGACACACAATTAAAAAGAGTGGCGGAGAGTTTATTGCCAGTTTTTCTTGCCCGTTCTATGCCCTTGCGAACTGGTAGTAAATCTAAATTTAGAATCAATTTAACGTCTCTTCTGTTGACGTTCAAAAGTGTACTTGGTTACTTATATGAATAAAGTTATTTTGAGTTTGACTTAATTGACAGCAACAATCCCTTACAGAGCGATAAATATAACAGTTCGATCCCCAAATAGTCGGGGGTCGTAAGCACTAATACTTCCAACGTAGGGGCCCCAGAGGGGGGAAATTTGATTGTTAAGAGGCTATTCGGAAAATTATTTGGAATTTTTCATTTTCCGTTTTTCATTAGATGTTTTGAATATTTACTTACTGTGTTTCGTTAACAATTTCCTAGTTATTTCTTCCTTAGTGAACATCATTTTTACAATAAAGGTACACGCTGTCTAAGACACAAAAATATTTTTTTAACTATATTTTTGTTTAATTTTACAGAAATTTGCATTTCCATTTTTTCCGTAGTAAACCGAAAAAAGCAGATTGCATCGTACTTCTTGGGATTTAAGAATTACAGTGTATTTTTCTTGGAGAAATAAAATATGTAGTTTAATAAACATTACAGGTGAACACTGGGAAGGGTCTATAATAACTACCATATTCACATTGCTATTTTGGGACATAATATACGCGGAATTGCGTGGGGTAAGGGGCATTTTCATTACGCCCTACCAAAAGTACCCATTGGATTTGTTCACCGAAAGCTTTTATTGGAACCGACAATGTTTGATTGAAGACAGGCTCAATAATATGGAGAAATCAAGTGTTGAGGATCTGATTCCTTCTATGAAGAAAGTCTGGGATACGAGGCCTGAATGTAAGTAATTTTTATTTTCTCCTAATGGGGTTTGGGGCAGACAGAAATCGGACTCACGTGACGTCATACGAGTGCGATAATAATCGGCGCCTGTTGTCAAGTTAATTATAATTTGTGCAATGATTTTGGCATTGTTCTTAATATAAATGAATAAAAGCCCATTTTTGTTTTTTTTTTCCAAGTTACTTTAGCCAGGATTTCGTTTATTTAGTTGGCTCCTTACAAGATGTATAATAGTAAGTAAATAAATCAGTGGCGCTACAACCTTTTTAGGTCTGGGCCTCAGATTTCTGTTACTGTTTCATGATCATTTGTCAATCTAATAGTCAAGTAGATGATCAGTCTCCAGTGCCTGACACACGCCTTCGACTTTTTGGGTCTAAAGCAAGCCGGTGTCCTCACCTTCAGGACTTCCGTTACCATGGTAACAGATACGATTAGTTCAACTTTCAAAAAAAAGAAACTGAAAATGTTTGAAATTTTCTAGCAAATTGTCTATTTAGGAATTTTTGCAATTATGACTTCTCTATGTCAAAAATCAATTTTTTCATACGGGAAGTTATGCTTTTTAGTAAATTAGGTTAGACTTAAATTACTTATTAGTCTTAATTTAGGCTTGATCGTAATGTTCCATGATGTCTTAGTAAAGACATGTATAAAAAAAAGCAAAAAAAAGACACGGGAGTTTATAAAGTTCTCGCAGTATGAATCTGAATATCTTAGGGTGAGATTCAAAAACGAGGCAGCACCAACTATATCAAAATCCACTAGATTTATGACGTTTCTTCTAGTTTCTGAAGTTGACCCTTAGAAACTTAAGTAAGCTTTGAAAGTTTGTATGTTCGGTTTTAATTAACTGAAGGTATCGTTTCAGGTGAACTTTCAGACATCCAGCGTAAAAAAATGAATTGGGACAAAATAGAGGCTATTAGCAAATGTCTGGGAAATAGGTCTTTGGCAATCATTTGTCGGAGGCTTGCCTTGGACTACAGATACAACCACAGCGGCTTCCCAGATCTCACCATGTGGAATCCGCTCACTAAGCAGGTAAGAGACCGGTATAAATGAGCTATTTTTACCGACTTGACAAAACTAACAGTTTTACGTGTACATACTCTTAGCATTGGATAAGGGAGCGTTCAATTACGTAACGAATTTGGGGGGGTGTCCTTTTGCAAAACGTTACGATGCGGGGCGGGGATTGAATTACGCGTTATTGTTAATATTATTTTCGTCTTTCCAGTAATTTACACCACATAATGGTAAATTTTAGGTATTAAGAGTCACTAGGTGGTCACGCAACGTTTCACTATACTTGGGTTACGGTAACGTTACGGCGCGTTACATGGGGTCAATAATCTCCAAAAATTGCGTGACGTAATACTTGAACGTTCCCAATAGATTATATGCAAAATTCATGTTTCCATGGCACGTTTCTTAAATTAAGTATGTTTTGTCCATATATTTCCCGGAAAAAGAGATACCATAGTTTTTATTTAGGGACGTCCAAGTTTCATTAAAAACGCTTCAGTGGTTTTTGAGATATATCCACCTAGTAGTGTTGGTTCCGTTGTACCGTTTTGTAGTATATTTAGTAATACAGTGTTCGACAGAATAATAATTTCTTTTTGGAAATGATAGTTAATGCAAACCTCTAGTCGAGACTCGTATATTTATTTCGTACTACAGCTAACTTAAATTATATACAAAAATATAGCCAAATAATACATAATATATACAAAAAGGTTCTAACATTTACTTAAGAAGAAAAAAATTATGTTCACATTCCAAATTCCTTATGAACGCCATAAACTGTATTCGGTCCTTCTCATAAAATAACTCTGGGATCTACATTTTGGATCCGCCCTTCAACCGCCCAACTACATCTGAAAATAATTTACAGATATCCTTTGTGGAAGTCAAGACGGATTCGGACAAGCCATCAATAAAGCAAATTCAATGGATGAGATATCTTCAATGTAACAATATTAATACGGAATTTTGTTATATCGGTACGAACACCACGAAATCTAAAGCACGAAATGTGAATAATTGATTTTAATACCTTAATTTGTTTTAATTATGTTTTTGACTCTTATACAATAATCCCCCTTATAACAGGGTACTATTATAACGCGTTACAGTACCTATAACGCGGATATCGCGGGGATTTCCCTATAATACGAGGATTTCAAACGCTATAATTTTTGTACTGTAAAATTTATTAAAAATATAATTTTATGTAAAAGTTAAACGTGCATTATTTCGTATATAACGTTACATATAATAATACACAGTTATGCGAGAATATTTCTCCAACACGTTTCCTATAACGCGGAACCAATCTACCGTGTTATAGGGGGGATTGTACTAGTTTCTTACAAATAGATATTCATTTTCGATTCTACTATTAGTTATAAGTTTTTACTTCGTTGAGAAGTACTTTTCGCGTGAGAAGTGATAGAGGCTATTCACTCATATTTTTATTCTATAAATTAAAATTGAATTTAAAAACTTCTTTTTTTAAGCAACGCAAATTTATTATGCAATGGTGGCTCAATCGCGGTGAGAGGCAGATCAATTACTCCTTCAAGAGATTCACAGATTACAATTAGTTTCATGTTAGAATTATATCTTTATTTTATTGAAATGTTGCCAACGTCGAATTATGTAATAAATTTGCGTGTAGATATGAATTTTATACTGGCAATTTAAGGCTGAAATGAGATGAAAGAAATGCATTTTTTTTCATATTACATTTATCTAAAGAGTTTTTTGGCTGTGTTTTAAATTATCTAGTCTTAAAATATTTTACGTTTCGTTATTAAAAAATAAAGGTATTTTAGCAATTTAAGTAAAAATTACAAATTGATTGACATAATATTGTAAGGTGCTATTATATTAAATTATTCGGTTTTAAGTACAATTAACGTAAGCACAAAAATTATGCTACACTATTATTTGACAGAGTATTCAATGCTATTAAATATGCCTGCAACATTTGTATGAAAGTTTTTCCTTTAAGCGCCAAAAGCAGTGTATATTACGATCGCATTCAATACTTTGTCAAAGTCATGAGCTACTGTGCTACTATTAACATTACTATAGAAACGTTATCTATGGAAAATAAAAATTACGACATAATGTGACCTAATAAGGTTTATTGGATCTATTTAGACTTATTAAGAGTAAACACATTTCTATAGATTTGTTATTAGTAGTAAATTTTCTTATAAGCGTGTATTTTATTAAGTTGAATAAATTTTATTTTATCTACATATTTTGTTTTTTTTATCACCATAAAATCCGTGAACTTGCAAGTGTCTTTTCAAGTAATCGTGAGCGTCAGAATGGCCGGTCACTAGTCGTGTAGAAGGTAAAAATGTCGTTTAAAAATTACTTCCCAATTGCTTCTATTTAATTCCTACTACAAGACAATTGCTTCCTTAGTATCTTGGGAGAACCACAACAATTTTAGTGACCGTCCATTCTGACGTCAGAATGGCTGGTCACCTATCCTATTGTACTCACTATAATGAATTATCGATTACTTCATAGTTCACGTTTTGCTTCCTATTTGCTTCTTCCTAGGTTTTCCATACTCGATGCTGTACCTATCATGAAATTAAGATATCGAACAATGTTATTACAATTCCGCCCAGCGCCTGGTAAAAATATACAGGCAAAGAATATTTGGTTAAACTAAGTTTAATTATGGTTTATTTATATAAATATAGGTAGGTAGTAACAGAAACCACTATGTATACTTTTTTTTTATATTGAATACAAAAGAAAATATTAGAATACAAAAATAAAATAAAATGAATTGGTATAATACAAATAGGTATTATACCCCCCCCCCCCCCCCCCCCCCCCCCCCCCCCCCCCCCCCCCCCCCCCCCCCCCCCCCCCCCCCCCCCCCCCCCCCCCCCCCCCCCACCCCCCTCCCCCCCCCCTCCTCCCCCCCCCCCCCCCCCCCCCCCCCCCCCCCCCCCCCCCCCCCCCCCCCCCCAACCCCCAAACCCCTTCCCCCTCCCCCCCCCCCCCCCCCCCCTCCCCCCCCCCCCCCCCCCCCCTCCCCCCCCCCCACCCCCCCCCCCCCCCCCCCCCCTTCCCCCCTCCCCCCCCCCCCCTGCCCACCCCCCCCCCCCCCTTTTCCCCCCCCCCCCCCCCCCTCCCCTCCCCCCCCCCCCCCCCCCCCCCCCCCCCCCCCCCCCCCCCCCCCCCCCCCCCCCCCCCCACCCCCCCTCCCCCCCCTCCCCCCCCCCCTCCCCCCCCCCCCCCTCCCCCAACCCCCCAATAACCCCCACCCCGTTTCCTACGGGGCTTTCCCCCCCCTGCTCCCCTTGGATGGGGCCCCTCCCCCCCCTGCGGGGTCCCCCCCTCCCCCCCCCCCCCCGGTCCCCCCCCACCCCCCACACCCCGGACCCCAGGGGGCGGGCGCCCCGGAGAAGGGGCCCCACGGGAGGTTGCAGTTCCCTTGGGGCGCCCCCCCCTCCCCCCCTCCCCCCCCCCCCCCCCCCCCCCCCCCCCCCCCCCCCCTCCCCCCCCCCCACCCCCCCCCCCCCCCCCCCCCCCCCCCCCCCCCCCCCCCCCCCCCCCCCCCCCCCCCCCCCCCCCCCCCCCCCCCCCCCCCCCCCCCCCCCCCCCCCCCCCCCCCCCCCCCCCCCCCCCCCCCCCCCCCCCCCCCCCCCCCCCCCCCCCCCCCCCCGGCCCCCCCCCCCCCAAACCGCCCCCCCCCAAAAAAACCCCCCCCCCCCGTACCCCCCCCCCCCCCCCCCCCCCCCCCCCGGGGTTGCCCCCCCCCGGCCGGGCCCCCCCCCGGGGGGGGCGGGGGCCCCCCCCCCCGCCGGCGGGGGCCCCCCCGCCCCCCCGGGGGGGGGGGTCCTTGGGGCCCAACGCCCGGGCGGCCCCCCCGTTTTTGGTTTGGGGGGGCCCCCCTTCGGCTGTCGCCGGCGCGGCCGGGGGGCGGCCCCCCCCCCCCCCCCCCCCCCCCCCCCCCCCCCCCCCCCCCCCCCCCCCCCCCCCCCCCCCCCCCCCCCCCCCCCCCCCCCCCCCCCCCCCCCCCCCCCCCCCCCCCCCCCCCCCCCCCCCCCCCCCCCCCCCCCCCCCCCCCCCCCCCCCCCCCCCCCCCCCCCCCCCCCCCCCCCCCCCCTCCCCCCCCCCCCCCCCCCCCCCCCCCCCCCCCCCCCCCCCCCCCCCCCCCCCCCCCCCCCCCCCCCCCCCCCCCCCCCCCCCCCCCCCCCCCCCCCCCCCCCCCCCCCCCCCCCCCCTTGCCGGGCGGGGGGGGTGCCCCCCCCCCCCCCCCCCGCCCCCCGGGGCCCCCCGCCCCCCCCCCCGCGGCCCGCGCGGCCCCGGCGCCCGGGGGGCCGGGGGGCCCGGCCCGGCGGGCCGGGCCCCCGCGCCCCGCGCGGGGGGGGCCCCCGCCCCCCGGGCCGGGCCCCCCCCCCCCCCCCCCCCCCCCCCGGCCCCCCGCCCCCGCGCCCCCCCCCCCCCCCCCCCCCCCCCCCCCCCCCCCCCCCCCCCCCCCCCCCCCCCGGGCCCCCCCCCCCCCCCCGCGCGGGCGGCCGGCCCCCCCCCCCCCCCCCCCCCCGCGGCCGCCCCGCGCCCCCCCCCGGGCCCCGGGCCCCCCCCCCCCCCCCCCCCCCCCGCGGGGGGCCCCCCCCCCCCCCCCCGGCCCCCCGGGGGCGGCCCCCCCCCCCCCCGCGCCGCGCGCCGCCGGGCCCCCGGCGGCGCGCCCCCCCGGCGGGGGGGGGGGGGGGCCGGGCGCCCCCCACCCCCCCCCCCCCCCACCCCACCCCCCCCCCCCCCCCCCCCCCCCCCCCCCCCCAATACTCATTCATTAATTTTTCTTAAGTCTTTTTCCTTTTTTTTAACGTATACAATACAGTGTGGAATTATTTTTTTATTATAACTTCTTATTATCCTTGTATTCATATCATCGTAGCATTGCCATACATTTTCACGTCTACAATATGCTTTATAGTGGCCCATTGTACCAATTGCAGGCGGAACAAATTCAATTATTGAAATCAATTCAAATTCGTTACCCTGTAAAAATAGGTTTGTTGGTGCTTCATAAACAGAAACAGTTTCATCCGATATTTCAAAACTTATAATGTTGCGTAAGATCAGTTCAAATGATTTGATACCATCGCAAGTTGCTTGACGGCATGGTATAATGGTGGGTGTATCGAGCATTTGTCTATTCGCTGCTTCTTCAATATCGTTTACATGTGTATCATGTAAACGTAAAACAGACACTTTTCTAACTACTTCATTTATAGGGCAGGTTGAATTAGTGCACGACGCTTTTTCATCTGCACTGTAAAGAGAACACTCAAGCAGAATTCCATCAAATATATTTAACACATTACATTCGAAATCAACTTCTTGCATATCTCTTATACTACTTCCATCGACGTATGCTAACAGCTAATGCTGGCATACAGAGCTTTCCTCGAGAACACAATTTAAATTGACATAATTGTATTTATGCGTACAAATAAATGTAACTTGATCAATTCCATTTTTTTTTTCTTTCCCCCCCCCCCCTCCCCCCCCAAAAAACCTTCCAACAAAATAAATTTTTTTTTTTTTTTTTTTAAAAAAAACCCCCCCCCCCCAAAAAAATTTGTTGTAAAATTACGCTGGATATTAAACCGTTTATTGTATTTTCACAGACGGAGAGGAATAATGTGATCACTTTCATGTATCCTTACTTATACTACTTCCCGACGTACAAAGCTAATGCTCATACACGACAAGTGTTTTTGTAATTACAATTTCATTATGAAAAATCTGCCTCGCATTCCTTTTTTTTAGTTTCTGCTTTTTATTTTTGCCTGTATATTTTACCAGGCGCTGGGCGGAAATGTAATAACATTGTTCGATATCTTAATTTCATAATAGGTACAGCATCGAGTATGGAAAACCTAGGAAGAAGCAAATAGGAAGCAAAACATGAACTATGAAGTAATCGATAATTCATTATAGTGAGTACAATAGGATAGCCATTCTGACGTCAGAATGGACGGTCACTACAATTGTTGTGGTTCTCCCAAGATACTAAGGAAGCAATTGTCTTGTAGTAGGAATTAAATAGAAGCAATTGGGAAGTAATTTTTAAACGACATTTTTACCTTCTACACGACTAGTGACCGGCCATTCTGACGCTCACAAGTAATCGTATGTTATTTTAACAAATTCAGTGGCGCTACAACCTTTTTAGGTCTTAGCCTCAGATTTCTGTATCTTTCTCATGATCAATATAATAGGCAAGTAGATAATCAACCTCCTATGCCTGAATCCAGCCGTTGACTATTTGGGTCTCTCCCTTTTTATAACCCAGGCAATAGAACGAATTCAAAATAAGCATAAAACCGAGAGAGATAATTTTTTTGTCATTCGCATACCGGAACAGCTTTATATTATATTAAATATGCCAGAAAGTTGTCTAATATACAATTCAGCGAATGGATTTTTTTAGAAAATGCAAAAAATTCATCGAAGTGGGCGAGCAATGTGTGTTCTTTTATTTTGTTTATGTATTGTTTTGTATATGTCACCATAAAATTGTAAACACCGTTAGATTGTAATCTATCTCGCGAGATTATGAACTGTCGAAAGATTGTGAACTCAACGTACTGCTTAAAATTTAACGTATTATTATTCGGTAGTTTGTAATCTATCGAAGTGAAACCGTTTACAATTTTACAAACTCCCACATCAAATCATAAATAAATCAATCTCTTACCAACACTTTTATAGTTCACAAATAACACTTTTATCAATACACAAAACCATCCACCCACCCCTCTAAATAAATCCTCAATCATCCCATATCCTCTTTGCTGTTCACACTATCGTCGTTTTACGACTCGAGCGCGTTGTTACCTCCCTCCCCGCCCCGTTCCTACACTTGCTCACTCCATCGTGTTTTTTTGTTTGACTTCCCAAAGTCGATCTTTCTGTTGGATTGGGGGCGATCCAGTTTTTCTTGGAATTGAAATTTTTTCAACTTTTTAATTTTCTTCTAAGTAGTAGAGCACAACAAGTTCTTCGTCGGCGTCCATGTCGCGAATTCGCTACGTACCGAATGCCGAAACTACGATCTAACGACCGCGACGTTACCCTTCGACTTTTTTATATTTCGACTAGTGGGAACGGGCTGTGACATATATACATAATTGTAAATAGTTACTGCATTGGAATAATGGAAGCTTATTTTGTTAAAAAAAGTACACAGACTAATTTACATGAGAATGCAGAAGATACAAAATGCCATAGATTATTTTAATTTCTAATCCGCTTCCTAGCATTGTCTTTGTTTTAACCATTTTTGTCAGATTGACAATTTAACTGTCATTTATAACGAAATTCCAATTTATAAAGTTATTTAAGTGTTTTAATACGAATTATCTGTCTTTTGGAAATGTTTTCTGTTTATTTGCCTTTATTGGCGATGTCGACAGTTTCTGCCATATCCGTCATATATTTATATTGCAAAAGCAGGATAGGAAGAAAAGGTTACGTGGATGTGAAAGAGAAACCCTAAAGTTTAGAAAGAAAACTGCCAAAATTTCAACAAATATTTATTGATTTACGTCATAACATTGTAGATATATACAATACACCTTGGAAGAAAATAAGGCACCTATTAAGGCTAACACGAGATATATCGTATTGGACCCTACGAATGAAGACTTGCACCACCTTAAAGTAACCATTTCCAACGTTTAAATTGAGCATAATATTAAAAACTAAGCAACATTTCAGTCTACTTTCTATACACCTAAATATCTGTTACGTTTAGTAATATTGCAGGACATAATCAAAGCTATAATTCGGGATTAACCTTAAAAATATATAATGGAGCGTTTAAGTATCACGTAACGAATTTTGGGAGGGGGGGAGTCCTCTTGTAAAACGTAACGATGCGGGACGGGGATTAAATTACGCATAATGCGTATTATTTTCGACTTTCCAGTACTTTACACCACATAATAGTACAATGGTACATGGTCAAAAACGTTACGGTGCGTTTAACCTGGGGGGGTCAATAATCTCCAAAAATTGCGTGACGTAATACTTGAACGCTCCCTAACGCAAGGTTAAAACTTTTGCGTTATTGAAGCAGACAGTTTCTATATGGCCTCGAAGAAATGTTCAAAAACACAAATTTAGCTCAACTCATTTATTGTAACGATATAAAAATATATAGCAACTTCGTATATGGACATATATTGTATAAGTTAAAACTCTGATATATACAATGCTGCACCAAAGTTATGAAAGAGATCTTTACAAAATAACATTTAAAAGTTTACTTTGGTGTCAGAATGTAAATAACTAAAGGCACCTCCGATTTGAGATTTTGTATACAAATATAAAATGTTGTATACATATACTGGAAATATATCTGAAAATGGCAATATTTGTGGAACTCACAAAGAAATGGATATAAAATATTTTTCGAGATCTTGCCATTGCTGACAATTGGTAAAAAAATTATTTGCATTAATTTCTTGGTTTTAACTCTGGAATTTGTTTTTAGTTTATTATATTTTATATCCAAGCCTTTTACATCTACATGGTGGGTTCTTGTTTGAAGGCTGCGTCCAAGAAGGGTTCTGCTATGGGAATCTGAGGCACGAGGGGGGGAGACGCAGCTGAAGAAAGGGGGGAAGCAGCCTGGCCTTGCCCCTCCACGGCGCCCTCTGTTGACGCACCTAAAAAATAGCAAGGTATTTTCAAAAACGGTAAAAATCAAAATTACGATAAAGGATACCAAACATAGTTTTAGTAAATTATTGTTAAAATTGTTTTGAATAAAGGAAATTAAAGTAAAAAGTAAATTCGTTTTTGAAGTTATACTTCTTTAGGCGCGTTATGAGAGTGAAATTTTACGGTGCGCGCGCACCGTGACACAAAATTAACAGAATGAAGTTGCCCACGGAAGATGCTACGGCATTGGACATAATTTAAAAACAACATTCGAATAATAATAGAATTTATGTTACACTTAATGTAGAGATAATAATAAATATTTATTTATTAATTTTTCAAATGTAAACTGAACTTAATTGACTATAATGACTCCTTTTCCAGTCTTTGATTATTTAATTGTAATTAATTATTTGCATGCAATCAAAAACTATTTTTAATAATGCCAAAGAAGTATAACTTCTTACGCGCATACATAAGTACACGCACCCTTTTTATTATCACGATACCGACCTCCTAACAACATTTCCTGCAACAAGCTGTCAACGTGGGCCACACCAAACAGTTTGGCAAATTGTATCTGCTCAATCATCTGCCAGGTGATGCTCTGGAGGGGTGGAAGACAAAGGAGGAGTTCGCCGAACCGACCACGCCCTTCGTACTGCCTGTCACTTATGTAATCCTCCAGATTTATCTGGATCTGATACCTCAGCTGCTTTATTTTCTGCGGTTGGGAGAGGCCTTTTGCGTCTGAAAAGAAATTATTTTTATACAAAACAAATATAAAAAGATCTCAAATATACAAAGACAGGGTCGCAGCTTAGTTTATTTATTTAGAAGCTTACAGCTTACTTATCTACTACGAAGTATTTTTTTAATCAAAACGCCAAATAACAGGTTTACAGACTAAACAATAATATAAGTATACAAAAAGAATGTGTGTATATTATGTGTATACTGAAGCCCGTGTCTTAAAATCGGCTTGATTTTTACATTTATACAAAAGAGAATTTATTAATTATTAAATAATTAGTCATAAGAGAAGACAAAACATTAACAAAAATATATTAACCAAAATTTTTTATTATTTTACGTTCGTTAACTTAATTTGTAATTACGTAATTTACGTAATTTGTAAAAATACATAACGTATGCTTTTAGTTCTCGTAACTTTTCAACAAAGCGATTGCCTTTCAAAGGCTGTAAATAATTGGCATATATCTTTTTTATAGTTTATTTATAAGAAAAAGTATACTTACTGGGATCAAAAAAGACGATAGCTTTGAGGCAAGCGAACTCCGTGTCGTCGATGTCAATCTCTCGAAGCGGCGTCACGATCTCATCCATCACTCTCATTCCGATCATACTGATGTCCACATCCATCCGGCCATCTGTAAATCATTATCCATTTGATACCTTTTTTTCTTACCCACAGACTATATACGACAAAGAATAGAAAGACACAACAATGAATGTCACGAAAGACTAGTGTATATATATATTGCGGTATGGTCGAAAGACTATAGCCTGCGCCATGGGCGAAAAAAAAAAACAATGAATGACATATAGCAAATAAAATAAATAACATGCAATATTTGTCAATGTACATCATATGTCAGACTTTAATAGCGCTTCCTCAAACGTCAGCAAAGCCCTGCTGAATTCCGTACATATTTTGAGTAACACGACTGCTAATCTTTTTTCTATTGGTATAGTTATTAATTTAATAGATACTACCTACCTTCAAAAAATCCTGACATTTCTTTTATAAATTTAAAAGGGCTTTAAAATAACACATTCTGAGCCCATAAGATTAAAAAATTAAAATCCGCCGGTGACGCGCAATTCACGTTACAATTAACTTATCATGAAAACGAAATTAATTAATTGAATATACTTCATAATACATCTCTATATAAGAGAACACGTTTTGAAGAAATGTTGAGGGTCTCCTAATACTTTTGTTTATCCTTCACAACAGAAAGTATTAAATACTCACTTACGCGAATTCGGAGTTACGCGATTTAATTTTCTCGTCTATTCGTTTTTTGTTTGAACGCCGCGCAGTCAAATCAGTGCCAGGGCCTGATGTAATTTGCAATGTGATCAAAGACGTTGTCGAACTTGGTAGACAAATAAATTTAGATGTGGATAGTGATGATGTTCAAGAGCTGTTTGATTCACACAATGAGGGGCTTACAATTGATGAGCTCATAACAATGCGTGACCAAGAGGAAGAAATTGATAATCATGATTCTTTGGATCCAGTTCAATTAGAAGATCAAATGACAGTTGGAAACTTGACAGAAGCCCTCAGTGCGATTGAAAAAGGGTTAACAATTTTTGAAAGCATAGACATGCGCTCTTTATCCAATAAAGACCGCATTTTTGTTACAAAACATGGAATAAAAAAATTACTAGGATGCTACGAGGAGATATTACGGGAGAAGAAAAAATCATTGACTCGTCAGACGACTTTGTTACAATTTATGAAACCTTCTACATCAAAATAACTTCGGATTGTGTTTATACACTCTATTAATATAGTTTGTCATATTATAAAGAATTAGATACTAATTATTTCCTAAATTATTGTTTCGTTTAGTCTCCAGTCCCAATTAAACATACTTTGTATGTCTGTATATGCAAAATTGTACTCCGACTTACGCGAATTCGACTTACGCGGATAGCGCTCAGTCCCTCCCTATCGCGTAAGTCCGGGGTATTACTGTATTTAATTGTGAGACACTAATAAAATTCTCTCCCGTTCTCCTTATGAGAACCTATTTGTGATTGCTATCAAAGGCATTTATATATTTTTTTAAATAACTATAATACAATCTGTACGTCCATGTGACAGTTTTGATAAACCAAGAACAAAACTAGTATCTCTCTCTCTATGGTGCTTTTCTTAAACGTCATCAAAACCCTTTTGTGTGACCATACAATAATTATAATACAAAACAGAATATTTTTGGTCTCAGTTTGAATTTTTCACTTATTTCTGTCCCGGGCAACACTAGGCCACACTTCCAAGTTTCCAGATCCGTTCAAGCTCAAGAGATAAGTTGAAACTTGTTGTAATGAATTACAACTAAATATTTTTACATTATCAATGAACTAATTCGAAGATTTTCAATATAAATTGAACATACCTATATTGTGTTTGGTGATAATGCAATTGTTCCCCAAGAGCAGGACATCTTTAAGGTGTATGGACCGCCTCGCACAACCCAGCAACAGATGTTCGCCCGCGTGTGCCCTCAGCAATGCAACCTTAAATTTTTAATAACGCTGCAGGCTCTTTTCTCACGAATTAGAGTTATATTGCGAGAATCGTTGTATGCACAGGGTGATACAACGATTCTAGGAACGGTTTTAGGGAATTTAATATTAAGTTGAGTCATATATATTTGTAAATGACGATTTTCCCTTTTTGGAAATTACAATTAAAGTTTACAATTGGAGCCGTTTATCAATGTCCAATGTATGACGAAATTTGGGAAACATTTTTTTAATCGTATCTTACATTAAATAAAAGTAATAGCTTACTTTTGACGACACCAATTTACTAAATTCTACAGAATGTGTCTGTGGTAATGTGTAAATTTTTAATATGTAGAATTTTTAACTATTAAGTTAACACGATTAAATTTCACCTTCTAGTACGATTTCCAAATGAGTTATGTAACAACATTTTAAGCTTATCAAAACTTTTTGCTCATAAATTATATTTTATCTACAAGTTAAAAAGATCCATGTTCTTTCGTGATACATGAACGCGTCAACTGAAACGTGAAATAAAAAATCGTTTTCTAGCCTAGTATTTTAAAAGATTACCTGGTCATCGATATGTAACTCTGTGAAGGCGGGAATATATTTAGCCCATTCAACCAGAATCAAAAGTTGTTGTTTGATTGAATCACACACATCGTTAATCTTCGCCAAATTGCGGTTACTGATCTCTGCATCTGTTGTGTTATGTGTCTGCAAGAATAAATTGTCTTAAATTTCGTGATTGTAATTAGTGAATGTATGCTATGCTAACGATTGCCATTAATTTTCGCCCAAAAATAATTGAATTTACATTATTCGACAAGACCACAAAGCGAATAAAAAAATCAACTGTCAAACATTAACAAAACAGTAACATGTCATCTGTCATGGATATTGTTAGAAGTATATTTATCCTAATCGTCATCACACATCAAAATATGAGTAAAAATTCTGTATCACCCTTTTTATCGACTGCTTCTAATATTTAAATGAATTTTATTAATTTCTAACTACTTCCGGATATGAGTTATCTGTTATAACCTAGATATCGGAGGTTAATTTAGTGCTTGTTTCTTTTAATGTCTATACAATTTTAGGGAAAGATATTTTGGATTTGATTTATTAATAAAATGCAATGTAAAATAGTATTTTTTTTGGCCACGTAAGTTCAGATTAGTAGGTTTTATCCACACCCAGCTATTTTGTTCCAAATTACTGTATATTATCTAAAACGGCCATACTGTGGACCTTTGAACGAGATAGTGGTTTGCAATCTGAGGCACCTTCATGAACAATTTATCGATAACCGTTTTGCGACACTTAGAAACACTTTATGTCGCATTTAATTTATTAAAATTATGTTAAACGGTACTTTTTGAACCCATCTTTTTCAATCCTGTTTTTATTTCATAATGTATAGGCTTAAGAGAGACAGCTACTACTAATTTAATGTTTTTGAAAATAATACAGACACTCTGAAACATAGACAATTTTTCTCCTCTATGATATTTATGAACTGAACAAAAATTCTTAACTTTTGTTGGTCTAAAGACTTCATATGGCCAGTTTTAAACTATCAAACCAGTTTATCAAAGTTCACAAAGATTTACTATGTAAAATATTATTATTAAAATATATTTATTATTTTAAGTGGTTGCAGTATTAGTTTCTTGTACCGTACTAGCGAGTGTTGAGCGTGCACATAGAAAGTCCATTCATGCACAACCGAATAATTTTTTTTTAATATACAGGGACCCCTACATCCTAGCCTACCAGACACGCAATCAGGCATATGTGACCGAGTGGCTAAGCAGCAGCGGAGTGTCGAGATCTCCCCTTTCTTAAAAAGGGGCATTATTATCTTAAAGGGTTGGCGTCTCCCGCCGCGCCGGGCTCGGGCGACAACTATTCCGAAAATATCGTCATAATATTGGGCGAGTCTATTTTTGTGACTAACATATTGACAATCTTGCCGCAGAATTTTTCCAGCTGCGATCTGTGCTCAAGCAACATGTCGGATAGCCCATCCAGGGCCCTAAAAGAATTAAAAAAAAAAAACACGGTGTGATTAATTTTTGTAAGGTACATACCTCATCAGTTACTTTTCTGCTAAGCAATTCTGCATTGAGTAGCGACGTGACAGACAGTCCATTCGCCTGTGTTGGCTCCTCGTATGACGGCCTTCTGCAGTTGATTCTGTCTCTTTCGTTCTGAACAGCTGAAAAGAGATGTCAATACATTATATATTTGAACTAAACAATATTGTTCGTTTCCTACTTTATACAATGACCGGCGACGGATAATTCCGATTCCGTCTTGTTTAAGTTTCGGAAAATTTATTAGATTGAATGGCGGGAAAGACTCACTGAAAATTGTTAGTAATATGCCAGTAACAACGGCGATAGTAAAGATTGTCTACGACTCGTAGAAATTACGGTAAATATTCTGGATAAAGATAGGTACCGTTGAATAAACAAATAATTAATATTCATTAACGTGAAGTTAACTCTAATTAACACTAGTACAAACAAGTAAGATTGATAATTAGTAATTAAATCGATAAATATTGATTTAGTTTGTTTATAGGGTATATAAATAAACGTGATTTTCCATGAAAAGGATTTCGTCTAACAATAGAAAATGTAAATATTCCTAGATTTAATTCTTCATCAATGTAAGAAATTAACGAACTATTAAATTAAAAAAAAAATTGGCATTATTATCATGACTGATAGCATTTTTTTGAGATAAGGATAATTAATATGAAAATGTATTATACAAAAAAAGTTAAAATATTTATTCATACAGGTAACATATTGTAGTAGGTACATGAATGTATAATCTATACTTATTATAAAGAGGTGAATTTTGTCAGGTTGTAAGGGGTAATTTCTGCGTCTACTGATACGATTGTCAAATATTAGTATCTATAGAAAGCAACGTGGGTGCGTATATTAAAAAAAATATATTACTATGACGTAGTCGGATATGCAAAGTTGAAACAAATCCCGACATATATCTGTCACTTGGTTCGCGGTAAACTCAAAAATTAAATATCTTAATATCTAGAATGATTCTTGAGGAGGTACATACATTTTCAAAGTTCACGGTTCACGGTTGCGAAGACGGGGCGGGGCCGAGTAGCTAGTACATAATAAAACTATTTATTTTACATTTGTACGATTATTATTATAACAATCGCGAGTATACCGTAATAAAAGATTCTAGAGATTTTGTTTTTGAAAAGCGAACTATGTTATCCCGGGATAGACAAACGCTTTTATGAATCTAGTACAATATTTGTTGAATTCTACAAAGATGTTATCTTAGTTGGATAAAAGTATTTAATAATATCATTCTTTGGCGTGTTCATAATGTTAAACTAATATCGTAAGTGTTCCGGATTTGTCACATAATCTTTATTGGATAAATAATTTAGATTATTTTGTATTATTATATGAAATATAACGTAACGATAGAAATAATCTGGCTTGTAAAAGCGGAGAACGCGTTGTGATAGGGATGAATTTAAAAGTTCGAGACATACCCCAAATGGGTCGCTTATCAAATGTATCTTTCCTTATCTATGACGAAAAGTGGCGTGATTTTTATGTTTATCAATATTAAGACTTATAAAAATAATTTGGTACAGATAAACATTTTATTAACAAGGTCTAACTGTTAAGAAGCTAAAATCATAAAAAATTCGTAAGAAATACTGTCTTCGAGCGTACTCGTGCAATAGAATGTGCCCATTAGTGATAGTGGTATCAAGTCTGTTACTATGGTAACCATTCCTTCTACAGAAATAACATCGAAACCATGGCAACAAATCCGCAATAACAGTAGCCCATGGCTAAACCGTACGAGTGCAACATTAAGATTTTCACTACGAATAACGAACTGTCTCTTTCAATCTGACCATCTATCAAAATCCGTTACAGATTATATACCTATGTTATATTACGCCATAATACACATAGAATTATTTAACAAAGACTTCAGATAATGATTAATATGGATATACAGCGATAGTCATAATTTCATTACTATTTATCATCGTTCACAAAGTAAAAATGTGTTTTTAAATGACTCATGTTTATATAAAGACGTATATATCTTTAATTTTGTGTTATCAATAGATATGTTGTACGCTTGTATATAGATAGGTTTTAGATATCTAGATTTTTGGTGCATTAATTTTACGCGAAGATATCTAGACCACTTTAAAACGCCTTGAACATGAGCAGTTCATATAGGAAACGAAAGAAATTACCATTTTACAAAATTGAGGACAAAAATTAAATTAAAGACGGCTCAACAAAATGAAAATGAATCAAAGTAATTCAGTTACAAAACTATTCTAATATTGCAAATCGTTTGTTTATAAGAAGGTCGTTAATATTTATATTTTTAATAATATTATCTTACACATTGGTTATATAAGAATACAGTATGTTAGTAGAGCAAATTTTAAAGGTGCAAGTAAATTATGTTGCATGTATTTAAATATAGTGATTTGAAATGGCGCGAGTCAATGAGGCGACAGTGATTTTACTAGATATTATAGCCCATTGTTATCATTGCCTGTATAGCTTTTCTGCTATAAGATTATACTCCCGTTATGATGAAAAAAAGCACGATAAAATGTGTGCATTGACTTAATTCTTAGTTCCTCTACTGGGATCTGGAGATTTGTTGAGGCATAATAATAGCGCCATCTCTTGTCGTACCGGGTAAAACTTAGCCACTTCATCAATTCAAAAGAACCGCTTACATATTATTTAGCGTTTCTTGGTAACTTTTCTTTATTTATTGACATTCATTTTACATTGATAATTTACAATCTGTAGTTGTCAATTGCTTAGTATTTTTGGTGTGTAGTACCGTAAAACCTTCACGGAATGCATATTTCTAAATTTAGTTTATAACTTAAGGCAAATTCAGTTTGTCTGACACACGTAGCTTTCCTAGTAACATATTTTAAATAGCACAGTCGGTGACGTACGCATACACTTATAATTTATACACTGACCTTGAGGTCATACGAATATATTAAAAGAAATTAACGATTTAAGACGTTTACCTTCCTTTTTCATTCCGGCTTTGAAGCACTTCCTTAAACGGCAATAGCGGCACTGATTCCTCTTGTCTTTGTCCACGACACAGTTTCGGCTAAATCTGTAAAATATATTTTGTTCAGAATCAACTTTGTGAAGAATTGAAAAATCCAAAAGTTTTTCCCAAACCAACCTCGTTTTTCGTTGTTTATTCGCATCCCCCTCCCCTAAGGAGTCACCCCCACCCGAGGCCGACTCCTTAGGAGTAAGAGTGACATGACTTTAATGCATAAATTAATATTCTAAAAGAAAACAGGACAATACACGCCTATATAATTCACGAAAGCAATCTTGTCAACAGTAGTTATGGAGTTAAACGTTGCCGGACTTACCAAGTACCTATTATAGAGGATTATTACTTGATAATAACAAAGTGATATCAATAATATTCCTAATGTTAATTTCTGTTTTCCTTTAAATTACCAAAGCCGTTTTAAAACTTGTTAGGATTTATACATTTTGCAATTTAGGATGGAATATTGTTTTGTTTGAATAATGATTCTCGAGGTTAAAAAAAAACATATATATAAGCTGACGTAGAAGTATCGTACCAATTCTTATAATGCATAATGCCGATTCAACGATATTACCGTAAATTATTACAAAACGTTACCATTTGAAATCTCAAAGTGCAAAGTATGAAAGTGTGAATTCAGGAATAGGTACGAATAAATTAATTGTCAACTCTAATGTTTATACTAAGGTGTATATTCTTTGAAGGTTATTTCTATTTCACACGGGTTATTAACGCTTTAGCCGCAATAAATTAAAATGCTTACAGATTAATAGATACCCCTCTAGATAAAATTAATAGATATTTTTCCTCGAAATTGAAAACGATATCGCTATAGAGAGTTAGAGAGAAACGATGCAGTTACCACAAGTTTATTCGAGACCTTTTATAGGCACTTCAAGGTGGATAATAGCCGTACAATGTACACTATGTTTTAGCCACAAATGAGGTTTGTAAAGGAGTTTCATTAGTTCCACCAGAACGAAGGATATTGAGTCTCAACGATCACCGCTTACCGGCAAGTATATAGATGATTCTTCCTAACACTTCGTCTGAAGAAGCCCTTGCAACCGTCACAAGAGGACGCTCCATAATGTTTGCCAGTGGCCCGATCGCCACAGATAGCACAGTGCTGGGACAGCGAGGTACTACTCGTACCGCTCGCCTCACTACTGCTGGTCTCAAGTTGCATGTCAGTATCTGTAATACAAAAAACATTTACAATTGATGGATATTAGTCAACATCAAAAGACAAGAAACAACAAATACGTAACGATGCTATAAAGAGAGAATTTTTAAGATATCAGAAAACTTTAAGTTGCAATAATAGTTTTTTTAGTTAAATACTTATGATTATAATTGTAATGTAATAAAAATTAACTAGGAATATATTCTATATACTATATACACGTAGATTAAATTAACCCATAATAAAAAAAATAATTATGACTTAAGCGTTACTAAAAATTAATGATTTTAGGAGTTATAAATTCCTTAAATTGTTCGAGATCAAAAACGCATATTGTGCATTACATAATAAATGCTAAAAATTGTATAATTATAAACAAACGCAAATTAGTTTAGAGAAGATAAGCCTATATATATATATGACTTTATTAAATATGTTTTGTACGCGAATCTTTTTATTACTTTGTATAATTAAATGATTTAAAAGTGGGGATTTTTTTGACCTGGTTATTTCGTAGTCAATTTTTTTGAATTAGATAAGCATTATATTGTTTATTACGTTTTAAATAGTCATATAATATACTGATAATAATAATATCTAAATTAAACATAGCAATCTAAGGTAAACGACTACCGTAAGTTGCTTATGTTCAGAGTTTAAACTTTTGTTTGACTCAAATATGTAGAATAATCAACAAAAAATTTATCACATATAATTATATCCTTTCATTAATTTTGTTAACATAAACTTAAGGGTCAATAGTTGTACATTATTCACGATACCATATTATTCATAACAAAAACATTAATCATCATAATTTTAACTAAAATTGTTATTTCCACAATTAAAACCATACAAGACTTCCTCAAAATTTGGGAAAACTCTTCCGTGTCGTTAGCACATTTAATTAACTCTTGATAGCCTACACATGATCACAAAAACCTAAATGGTCTATCATAATAAGACCTTGCCATACTGTTTAAACTTAAATTTGCTATCTTGAATTTCATTTCCTACTCTTGGCTCTAGGTTCGTTATGTATATTTAGTGTATCTAGCTTTTACTGTATCATAATTGAACACTAGTTTCTACACATCAAGCTTTGATAACGTCGCGATAATATAATCCCAATGATTGATATCGGACTTGCCTTAGCATGCATTCAAGCGGTAATAATAAAAAAAATCGAACATGTACTGTAAAACATAGCAGCTTCGACGCGAGGCTGGCTTTCCGGTACACCCCTATACATGTATGTGGAGTAGGGACTCGGCACTTGCTTGTCCCACAACTGAGGCATCATGTACTCCTCATTCACCACGTACCGCGTCGAACACATTTCATATGACGTCGTCATTTCGTAGCCAAGCGCTGGCATTTCTCACTAAACCGTGTCACCACACTCGATCGCTGTCGGCAACTGACTCCGCTCAGACCGCGGCCCGGAGCCCCGATAAGCGCGATTAGCTAACAGGTGATTTAAATTGTTTACATCACTGAATACGAATATTGTCAACACAACCTCGTGGCGATCGCGTGGTCTTAATTTCTCCCGTTGGTTTTGTCTGATGATCAAAACGACCTCCCGCGCACGCGACTAACTATAGACTAGTATAAATCATCACCTAATAGACTGAATGGAATCAAATTTGCTGACTGCGCTACGCGTATGGGTCAATATGTCCGATCGGCAGCGCTGAGTCACAATGTTATCGGAAATGCAGCGGATGTAAAGCCAAACGTACTGGGAACTAGTCACTGCAGCTGATGAAGCTTTATCCATACAGAGAATGTCATCGGGACCGGATGAGTAATTGATTGTATGCTTTTGTTCTTTTGTCGCCATCGACACTTATCTAACACATTTGTTAAATATTGTTTACATTAGATTATACAAATATATATTTTCTTTATACTGTATAAGTGCCAACGGAAAAATGATCCAAAGTACTTGGAGGAAATTTGTCGTTCTTTAGACAATATAATGACGCAGTTTAGTGTTTAATATTCTCAGATTCAAGTAAACAGTTTCATTATCAACAAAAGGGTCGCAAAGTCGAGGCAATCTCCCAGACTGGTCTACTTTACCTAGAGATAGCAGGACTTTAATTTTTATAGCAATTTACAAGTTATATACCGTTTTTGCAGAGCAAATACGAAATATTAAGTTTATGTTTAGGATTTGCTATTGCTAAGGTTAAGATTATATAGATATAGTACAGATAGACCTGTCACAAATAAGGCATTATCATAATTCCCGTTAAAAGTATCGTTCTTCACTTAGGCAAGGTAATCTTCTAGTGACTGCGCAAAGAATTTGTATCTCGCTGATTTTGGCAGGAAACGAATTAGACACATTAGATAAGGGACTAAATAATTAGCCTTCTAATATTGACATAATTTTCAATATTAATTTTTAATATTAAATTAATAATTAAATTAATTAAACAAATTGCTAAAACTTTTACGAGGGGCGTTAATTAAAAGAAAATTTAATCAACAGATAGCTTGAGTCTATTTGAGGTTGCTTTTTATCAATTTAGTGAGAATTCATCTTTGTTAATGTTATCTTAAACATTAAAATACTTTCCTGGTAACGAGTTTATATAATTAAACATTAATAGCATTATTTTCAAGTGAGAATGCGAGACATGGCGCGACATTACAAGATATATGAATCATTTTATATACAACGTTAGTAAAAACAAATGAAGTCTAATATTTCGTGTGATCAGTGTGTAAACGTTTTAGAAAACTATTTTTGAATAACGTTTCCCTACCTGGGCCACTTAATTAATTATAATGGGTAATCCGGGGTAAACAGCGTGTTGGTAGAAGGAAAAAATCATGGCTTCATAATGTAGTGGCCGGGTATTGTGACTGCATCTGCCATAAGACACGCTTCACGAGACGGCCAACCTCAAATAACGAAGAGGTACCAAAAGAAGAACGATGGAATTTGGATTAGATTTAACATACCCCGTTACATACGAAAGGAACTTTCTACATCTGCGTGGATCCAACACAAACAATACAATGAGAAAATAATTTTCTGGTAACCATTTATTTAAAATTCTGTAGATAAAACTCTGCCCATGTTTGATATAACTCGTTGCGTGCATCAAATACAGCAGTTGCTACTTTCTTGTCTTTGAGACATACATCAGAGGCTCTTTCCAGTAGAGTCGCTTCAATTTCGAGTATGTAACACTACGAGTTAGATAAACATCGTTAAACAAATAAATTACGAATAAAGATTTATTATGCCAACCCATTCTTTGTTCCCTTACACTTATGACCACATCGTATCTTACGTTACGGAATTTTTGAGTGAAGGTCTGTTTTTGTTTTTGAATTAAATTAATTGATTAATTATTCATTAAATACATACGAAGGGCTTCCTCTTGTCTCATTTCGACATCTAAGTTTATCTTAGTGCCCTTCTAAAGATTTATGTTATACAAACTACCCGCCTGCCTTCGCCGCAATGATTTGATGAACGCCATTATGTATTTATATTTCGATAAAATCGGCTATACCTTAAATTATATTTGCTAACGGAACATAAACTATTATAGAAAACTACAGATCTAGTAACTTGTAAGTCTACGGGGGCAGAAATAGTAATATAGTAATAGAAAGTAAACATTCGGGTTACCAATACCATTTATGTAAGCTTTTTAACACCTCCGACGACTTAATAGTCGGGGAATTATCTGTTTTTTAATATAAAAAAAAAGTCTACGGGGGCAGACCCCGTAACTTAAGACACCCATTAAATAGCATTTTAGAGTTAAACAATATTTTAATAGTCAAAATTTTAAACCTATTTAGAGACAAGATAGCATTAATTGTTTTAATAAAATATTTTTTATAAATATCTAAATTGTATGGCTGCCTAAAGATACCCGACATAATTAATATTATTTTTGTAAGACAATGAGTCCATTTCAAAAAAATATATGTTAGTTAATTAGGCGTTCAATGACACGATAAGTAAGAAACGTTTAAACAATGTGTAAAAGTTTATAGCGGTTCAATTTAAAAAAAAAATATTAAAAAAAAAGCCTTTATTGTTGTCAACAAGTTTTACACAGAGTAGTTTCTTGTGATTAAAATTAATTTACTTATGACTAAAAAACACATTTTGACTATTAACTAGAGTTAAGCTAATATACTAACAATTTTAATATGCGGTTCAATTAAGAGATGTATAAATATAGACGTCTTTTATCAGTAAGGGCATAAATAACAACATTTTACAACAGACAGATTGTTTCAAATTATATGTACATATGATTTAAATTTTTGTTGCGTTTTAATTTCAAAGCCCTTTATAAAACACGGAAACGCATAAGGTTAAAACTATGACAATATTAAATCAAGGCGACCGACAATCAAAAATGTTTTTAATTAACGACTCGAGAGAAAGCAATTTGAAATAAACTGTTAAATTGAAGAAATCGCCTGTTAGCGATAAGGCCTCCCGAATCCCGATATCTCCTTCATTAACGTTATTTGAGTGTATGTGTACCAAATATATAAATATTAAATATATAATATTATTATAATACTAGCTGACCCGGCGAACGTCGTTTTGCCATGTATATTGTTTCTAGGAAACATTTTCTTAGTTCAATAAAAATAACTATCTTCTATAATAAAAAATAGAGGTTGATCGTATAGGGTTGACAATTAAGGGCTGTATGTATTTTTGTATGTTGTATCATAAAAAAATAAAAACAAAGAGTTTTGTCAAAAAATAAAATTACATTTAAAAACATTACACGAGAATTTTATATATTAGATAATAATGCAACGTGTTAATAAATAAATAAATTGAGAAAACTATTTTAGAAACCTAAGTTTGTGTCATATTGACTAGATGCTGGGCATCTAATCCTCCACCTGCAAATTGTATGCGATGGAAGACACCACCCGAAAAAGACAAAAAAGTGTCTCAAAGAATGAGATTATGGGGATCATTTCCGCATAGAACCTGCATGATTTCTTTTTTCGTTTTTCATAATAAATGTTACTGAATAATTTTTGAAGTTATACTTCTTTAGGCGCGTTATGAAAAATTGATGAGAGTGAAATTTTACGATGCGCGCGCACCGTGACACAAAATTATCAGAATGAAGTTGCCCACGAAAGATGCTACGGCATTGGACATAATTTAAAAACAACATTCGAATAATAATAGAATTTATGTTACACTTAATGTAAGATAATAATAATATTTATTTATTTAATTTTTCAAATGTAAACTGAACTTTATTGACTATAATGACTCCTTTTCCAGTCTTTGATTATTTAATTGTAATTAATTATTTCCATGCAATCAAAAACTATTTTTAATAATGCCAAAGAAGTATAACTTCTTACGCGCGTACATAAGTACACGCACCCTTTTTTTGTTATTATGTATCAATCAAATAAATTAAACAGCTGTAATATGATCTTTGAAGTTGCAAATAAATTTGTTGTAACTAGAATAACAATCATGTAATTTTCCATAGTATAGGAATTATATCGCACACAAGGCATTGACCTAGGACCTTATCATGCACAACGATTTATCGATTGCACAATATATTTTACACGGTATTTTTTATTTTCACATCCTTAAGTTATTTAAACTAAAGAGGAAACTTTATTGAAAGCACATACTAAACAAAACTATTCCGAGTTTTGAAGCTTTTGTCGTTTTTCCATATTAAACGTGTCGGATGTTTGATTTGGTGATATCATATAACAAATAATTATGGATGCTATTAGCACCAGTAGGGGGCAAATCCCATACAATATACTTGATGTTTTCAAAGCGTAACCTGCCAATCAAATATTTTATTATTGATGACGAATTATTATTTTTTTCTCTCTTGTTTCACCCCTTAAAGTTTTTAAGCTATTGCATAGATTCTATCGCGGGCCTTGAGCGTGGAGACCGAATCCAGAAATTCCGTAACGAAAATAACCTCACACACGACGTAACGTGACGTCTCATATCGGGTGCAGCCGGTACGCGTTAGAGTGAGACAGACTATATAGGCGTAAAAAAAAAATGTAATTGCATAAGTTGATAAACATACAACACACGGTTCGTAACGCTTATTTTAACGCAGACTTAGACTCCTGTACGTCAAAATCCAATACGTTTTTGAGATACGGAACCACAATTTACTTTCAGCTCTGATTACCATAAGGGTGGCGAGATAAATCATTAAAAACATCGTAATATCTATTTATTTTTCAAACAACCCTAATGTTTTAGTTATATATACATATCTACCTAAATATATTAAGCTCTAACTAAAACAACGCGTTTACTTAAATTGTCTAGTTTTTCACACTTCGTTCAAATGTGGTAGTTTT